TATGGAGGCCAGCCTCGCGCTTTGATATATAGGGCCGGGTGTCAGTTGTCAGTCAGTGACTGCGCCCTGTTATTGCCCGTACCCACATCTCCCTTATTTTGTTACTTTTTGCCTGTTTGTTTGTTTCTGTTGTTTTGTGCGATATTTTTTTATATATATTGCATTACATATACTGATAAACCCTCATATACGACCGCACTAGTTTTGCAGTAGGAATGAGGTACCCACGCGACGGCAGCGGCAGCTAAAATGTCCTTGAAAATAAATTCGCGCCATTTTATCTCATCGCTATAATTCCACCTCGTTCGATTTGTCAAAAGCGTTCGCAGGCGAATTTTGAGGGGTTCATTCGTACGAAACCGTATGCAAATTCAACGAATTTAAAGATAATTGCCTTTTGTGTTTACATCCTCCTTAAAACATAAAATAAGGAATTAATTTCGGGTTTCTTCAGTCTGTAGGTAACTGGGTATGTCTACCCTACATATCGAAAGGCTTTTCAAGTCGACGTGAAAAGCTATCTGTGCCAAACCTAAATACCGATATTTGACGATCCACTAAGATCGGCGCAGCGCAACTTCGCACCGTTACAGAAACTGCGACGAAATCAGCGTTTCAATGTGTGAACAGAAGCCTAATCCTAAATGGTATGTGCAGCGGCGTTATAGCTATATGGTATACGACATCGCCATCGTGTGGTTGCTGTTATAGTTTTAGTTCATTGGTTTCTAAATCCCACGGAGAGTTCAGACTGGTTATTATACAATGTATCTCAACATAGAGTAAAATTAAAGTATACAAATTTCTTAACAAGATACTAAGTTTGCCCAATATCTTTGTCTAATACCCGGAATCAGTTGAGGTCGAATGAGTCCAGGATGTGCGATACGAAGGATAGCGGAATAACAAGACTAAAATCTTTTCTCTTACTCAAATATGCCACATATGCCAACAAATGATGATGGGGCAATTTTGATGAGGTCCTCTCTCAGTATGAACGCTTCGGCGTCAGCAGCTTGTACTGATTCATTGAAATCCTCCACTGTTGTAGCAATTTGATTTTGACTCAGTGTTGGAGGGAGGTTTAAATTCCATTGTTTGTAGAGAAAGCGATGTGACCAAAAACTGATACGCAAATCAATAATTTTGCTTTCTGATTTCCGGCTCGCCGCCATTTTGAATAATTGTTTTTTGTGATCATGATATGTCTCTGCTTTATTCGAAAACATGACGTTGATTCTTGACAATGTCCGACAATCCATAGCTAACTTCTCATACATTTACACTTTGTCTCTTCTTCAAGAAAAAAGAAAAATAGAAAAGAAAGGAAAAAAAGAAGAAATAAGGAAAGAAAAAGAGAAATGGAATTACTTTATAGATTTTTTTTCTGTCAAGTCGATGTCAACTTGATGTCTTCACTTGAAACCACTTCTTTTCGTAAACACACTCAGTCGTTCACTCAAGAAAGTTACGTCATAATCGTGCAGTTACGTCGTTAATGAGGTGCTGGATGCCGCCTGTGGATCCTTAATACATCGTGTTGACATCACCTGTGTAATCAGCCTCAACGTTATGTACGTGCAGACTTTCAGGATAAGATTATCAACCATTAAAGGAAAAATATTGACGAGAAGGATTTAAGAAGTGTTACCGTAAATCCTTTATTAACCACCCTCTCAAATAAGCCCTCTCCCCCCTCTTTTCGGGGGAAGAAAGTTAATAAGCTCCCCTTCCCTCCCCTAATTATTCTTCACTAATAAATGATAGACTGTATTAATCAATCACGACTGTATAACTTCGTTTGAACTGATCAGGGATGGTTTATTCACTAACTGGAATTTGATCCTCGGCTGCATGACCTCCAACTTCTTGTACCCGAGCTTTTCCACTTTGTTGGCTAGTTCTTTATGGAGAACTGATACCATCGTCTTTTCTAAATTAAATACGCCCTCTCTCAAATAAGCCCCCCAATGGGCTTTGAAATAAATAAGCCCTGGGGGTCCTAATAGAGGATTTGCGATATACAAGGAAGCTGCACTCCGATCGAGGTCCACTGTACTAAACCCTTACACTTTTTTTATATTATTATTGAGAGAAAGCAAGAAAGGATAAACGGGCTATCCTCTCTTGCAGAAAGGAACCCCTTTTGTAGACTCTCTAATGACAAATTATTTCTCTTCTTGATATGATAGCGTTGTATACCGTAAACTTCCGCTTATAAAGCCCTGGGCTTATACAACTTCGTAAGGGAGGGGCTTTAGGAAAACTTATAAATGGAGGAGGATGATATAATCGGACTCAGTAAAAAATCGTTTCAAAATGGGCTGCATAGCAGTGCTGATCAAGATAATTGTTGATTTTTTCGCTTTTTAAGCTTGATAACGTCGTAAAAAAAGTCGAACTCATTTCAATACAAGCTAGAGGGGGGCTAACACCGGATAGTGTTTTTTGTTTAAAGCCGGAGACTGGGGCCGGGGGAGGGGGGCTAAAGAAAAATATGAAACGGCAAACTGATCCTTACGGCAAGGCGATGAAGAAGTAAACAAAAGAATAAAAAATATATTATAAATTTAAACAAATTGCCCTAGTGGGACTAACACCGGATAGTGTTTTTGTTTAAAGCCGGAGACTGGGGCCGGGGAGGGGGGCTAAAGAAAAATATGAAACGGCAAACTGATCCTTACGGCAAGGCGATGAAGAAGTAAACAAAAGAATAAAAATATATTATAAATTTAAACAAATTGCCCTAGTGGGGCTAACACCGGATAGTGTTTTTGTTTAAAGCCGGAGACTGGGGCCGGGGGAGGGGGGCTAAAGAAAAATATGAAACGGCAAACTGATCCTTACGGCAAGGCGATGAAGAAGTAAACAAAAGAATAAAAAATATATTATAAATTTAAACAAATTGCCCTAGTGGGGCTAACACCGGATAGTGTTTTTTGTTTAAAGCCGGAGACTGGGGCCGGGGGAGGGGGGCTAAAGAAAAATATGAAACGGCAAACTGATCCTTACGGCAAGGCGATGAAGAAGTAAACAAAAGAATAAAAAATATATTATAAATTTAAACAAATTGCCCTAGTGGGGCTAACACCGGATAGTGTTTTTTGTTTAAAGCCGGAGACTGGGGCCGGGGGAGGGGGGCTAAAGAAAAATATGAAACGGCAAACTGATCCTTACGGCAAGGCGATGAAGAAGTAAACAAAATAATAAAAAATATATTATAAATTTAAACAAATTGCCCTAGTGGGGCTAACACCGGATAGTGTTTTTTGTTTAAAGCCGGAGACTGGGGCGGGGGGAGGGGGGCTAAAGAAAAATATGAAACGGCAAACTGATCCTTACGGCAAGGCGATGAAGAAGTAAACAAAAGAATAAAAAATGTATTATATATTTAAACAAATTGCCCTAGTGGGGCTAACACCGGATAGTGTTTTTTGTTTAAAGCCGGAGATGGGGGCCGGGCCGCCGAGGGAGAGGTGTGGGGGGGGCTATGACCGGATGTATTTTAATTGTTTGCAGATACGTAGATGGGCTTATAACGGGGGGCGGGTGGCTTTTAAGTGGGGGGAGGGGGGCTTATAAGCGGAAGTTTACAGCAGTCGAGTGTCATTTTCAGATGTCGTGCCAGAAGTATCACCCAAAAATTGAAGTGATTTCCAGTACTGTTATTACCTGTTCTATTCACTGTATCCTTGAAGATATATATCGTGCCAGGATTTTGAGGAAAGGAATTCGAGGTAATGTTATGATTTTTTTTGTAAGATCGCCAGCTTGTTGAATGCTATTTAGATGTAGCCACTGTGATTTGATCTCGCTCGACTTCCTTTGGATTCAGTGGATTGCCTATACTATCGGTGAGGTCAATCGAGTTCTGCTTCCAAAACAAGCAAAAATCAAAGGACGTTTTATTTTTTGGAACTGGAAAGCCCTTTCTTTCATAGAACCGCAGTAAATGGGTTTCTAAGTTGGTGGAGCGGAGGTTGTTCGCTTACTCAACCAACCGTGGAATTATTTTAACCATTGAAGATGGACTTTCGATCTGCCTGCTCCAGCACTTTGCCGATTTTACACAAACACTTGTTCTTTTTCTACGTGACGAATTAGTCTTGCTGCCTTCTTTCAATTCCTTTCCCTTATTTATTAATTTTGAAGAGAAGGTATCATCGCATTCATTGTGAATGCCCGCAATAATTGAATTCATTGTACTTGTATTTCGAGTGTGACGTTGCTCAGGTTGATCATTTCTAATATCCGTTTGCCAAAACTTTTGGTCGAAGTTTTGGAAAGAAAATATTAAATTGTTTTTAATTTCTCAGAAAGGGTAGTGTTACGAGAAATAAACACAAACAAAAGGATGTATTGGTAACAATGAAAACATTACTAAAATACTGGGTTCATGATTTGCGGATTGTACTTCGCCATGCCTTTGACTTTCAAGTACCTCGGCTGTATGAAACGATGACTTCAACATGGTGGCAAAGCGGAACAATTTATTTTTTTGTCAAGAGGGACAATTTATTTAGCGCCTCAATAAATTTTCCAGATAAATGCAGTAGTTTTCATTCACTTTTACAATGTGACTGCCTGGTAAATTTTTATAACAAGCTCATCGCAAGCTTTCGCCAATGCTCTCTACTCTTCAGCCAGAATCTCGTCGCGCGGTGACGTACAGGGCGGTAGTTATTGTTCTAAAGACAATGTGGAGCTTCGTCGTTAGGAACGTCATAGCGAACTAGCGCTCGAACCGTGAGGTCTTAAATTTCTTTTTAAAGGTCGTATCAGTTCTGTTAATAAACCACATTTTATTGTCAAAAGTAGATACCTTGTTGCTTATTTTTTATTTTTGTTATTTTTTTTTACTTTTAGCTGTGTTGTATTAAATTCGGTTTTGAAAACAACCTCCCTTCCACAAAGAAGACACTATTTTGTATAATGTGGTGGCTATATTTTTTGTATTGTACATTTGCCTTCTCTTTATAAGGTAAAAAGACTAAGCTGAAATGGCCCTGCAACCTTATAGGGAAGAGGATTTGAATTATTTCAAACTCTCCTCCCTTGTGCTCAATGGATTCCCAAGAGCCCTGAGACAGACCTTTAAAACCATGTGGGACAAAACTCATGGTCATCGCCCTGGTTTCCTGCCTTGGGATGATTCTACTGCTGTGAGAAATTTGTTCGCCTCGGAGGAGGGTAGCAAGAACAGAGTTCCCGTTCATCAGTCTTATGGCGAATGGGACTGCACTGCTTTGTTCCAGGCCACTATCTACTCGCGAGCCTTCGCCTTACATCATGGAACGCTAAATGAAGTGTATATCAAGCCTCGTGGACTGTCACCTTCACATTTTCACCCATCAGTGATGAGCGTAACCGGAGACAATGCGGAAACCTGGGCATTAGCGATCGATCAGCTACGCCTTCTTAGAAATTTCGTTTGTCACTTGTCCAGTTCTAAGATGGGAAAAGTGATTTTCGACCAATGCGTCCAACGTGCCAAAGATGCGTTCCTCGCACTCGGAGTTTCGACAGCTCCAATTGACGCTGTTGGTAGCTTAACGGAATCAGACTTTCCGACAAATGAAGTTCGCAGACTCGAGGAAGCAATTAAAGAGGCGAATCGAGCGTACATCAAATGGCTTGAGAGTATTATTTCCGATACTGCTGACAAAGAGGATATCGCCATGTTGGCACAAAAAATTAATGAGCTGAAAACTTTGCTAGACGAGGTTGCTAGTTCATCAACGTCAGGTAAGTCATTAAAGGCAACGTAAGGAAATGTAGAATCACTGGGCTGTAAAACTTTTCCAGCTCTCGTCATTTTCTTCTTCATAATACACCTATTTTAAAACGTCCACGACTAGCGCCCACTTCCTTATTGAAACTAAATAATCAATTTCTTAAATTAAATTCTCTAACACTCTTCAGTGGCAGCAGCAGAAGCTTTAAACCGACGTCGAACGCTCTAGATTATAGAAGACGATTGTACTTCTTGGAAGGTGATAAAGTACAAAGGGGAGTCAGTAAATGGCAGGGTCGGGGTCTATCTTTGTTTTCAAAGAATGCTGTTTTATGGTTAGGGTTAGGGTTAATGTCAATCTAACCCTAACCCTAACACTATCCCCGAAACAAGATTCTTAAATAGACCCAGCTCCACGTTTTACTGACACCCAGCACAAAGAGTTCGCAAAGTTTCAGCTTGCGCCCTGGGTGTTCCGGTTCCGACTTCAGACGGCCCGGTGGCTGAGCATATAATAAAAATAATAAAAAACAATAATCCTCGCAATCTGCTGGGATTATTTTCCTACCCGAGAGGTCAACAAGGAAACAATGTCAATGAGTTCATACTTTTTTTGTCTCCAGTGTAAACGTTCCAGCATCTTTGTCAGCTTTTTCGTCAACGTAGTTACGTTTTTTTTGCTGTTGTTGCGTTGGTTGTTATACAGGGCCAATCAAAATCGTTCGATCTTGGTTCGGATATATTATCCTTCTTCGATCACTCTTGGTTAATTTTAAAAACTTTTCATGGGCTAGCTTTCTATTCCAGGGTCAATATTAGAAACGAAACGACCATAGCATCATGTTAGATAAGTTAACTTCACTCGGAATGAATCGCTCTGCTCTCCAGTGGTTTAGGTCCTATTTAACCATGCGCGTCCAAAGTGTTTGTACAAATGGGGGTCTTATCTTGTCTAAGCAACAGCCTATATTTTTCGGGGTCCCTCAGGGTAGAGTACTGAGGCTGTTATTATTTATCATCTTTATAAATGACTTGTTTCTGGTAGTTCGAGGATGTAGCGTCGAGCTTTATGCTGATGATACTCTTATTTATTTCGCAAACACAGTGAAAGTCAAACTCAGTTAACTAGTGGCCTAACTAATGTCCTTAGCTGGCTTCACGCAAATTTTCTCATACTTAATCTTAAAAAAACTTAGATTATGCTTGTTGGTACTCATCAGAGGACTGCAGCGGCTGAGTAATACTCTCTTAGAAAGGGTCGTTGTTTCATTAGGACAATGTAGAGTATGTTGGCAATAAGATCTCGTCTAGATTAGGTATTCTGCGTAGAGCGCGCAAGGTTCTTCCCAAATCTACTTGACTGTCTAATGCTCTATAATACTATTAATAGTCTTGCCATTGTTTGACCGTCTGTCTGGGACAGTTGTGGGGTTGGGTGCAAATCTGTTTTAGATAAGTTAAACAGACGTGCAGCCTGTATTATTCTCAAACTCATTAATAATTCATAAAGAAAATTCAAAGGAAATTAATGTTTAATGAGTGTTTGGATATCAGATGAAAAACTGCTCATTTTTGCATCCTTAATTTCTCCTTCAAAAATGATTTTGTTGGAGAAGAAATATCAAACATTCGACAGTTTATCACCAGATGAAAACACTCCGCTGCGCGTCGTATTTTCAACTCTCTTCTCGGTGTTTCATCTGGTGATTGTATCTCATTGAAGGTCGACCTATCAAGGCTGAGAAGTTAAAGTCGACACTTGGCTGGCCCGTGCCTACAAGCGCATAGAGACTATCTGAAGTGGGTCTTAGTCTATAAATGTCTTTATGGAATGGCGCCATTGAACTTCTTTTTCGGAGTTTAGGCACGCGCACCAAGTTTAGGCACGCGCACCAACAACACCAAAACCAGAAGCCATGATTTGCTGCGTTCCACCTCTTGCGAAAACTACTAACTAAAGTCAACCAAGGAAGCCTTAGAATAAACGCTGATCGCACATACAACACTCTACCGGGAAACATCGGGTAAATAGAGACGCTCAGTGAATCTAAAATTTAGCTCAAACGCCATGTTAGACGATAATACCTGGACATGTTGCCTAGATAACTTTAAATTGTATAGCCGTCTCTTTATTGTTTAATGTCTTTGTTTTGTTTGTGTCAGGGCTCCATTTAAGAATTAAATAAATGATTAAAAATAGAGGCGTTGACGTTAATGTTGCGTTCGTCAAGTTTAAACAGATTCTGTGAGAACAGTCAAGATCATTTGGAGAGGTCTTTGGACAGATTAGAAATACGGTAAAACTACGCTATCGAGAAAATTGACTAATATCGATGGAAAAGGAATTACGTTGGATTGGTGATTAGCATGCTTTGATTTAAGATTTCTGTTCTGGTTGAGTAATTTGACAAAAATTGCAATAAGCTTCAAGAAAAATGCGAAAAGAAAAATGAAAAACTTCAAATAGCATACCGTAAACTGCCACTTATAAGCTTCCCGACATATGAGCCCCCCAGTTATGGGCCCATCTACGCCCGCACCAAATCAACTGTATTTTAAAAACTATTTTTATCGCAATTTGACTGAGGTATTTTCATTATATTTTTGACGACTTAAACCAAAATGGAACTCGGAAATGGCCTATTTAAATTGTGATTTGAAATGACGAGTACCTTGAAATGTCTCCAAACAGGATTAAAACTGGCTGTTTTTACAGTAATTTCACAAACCATTTTCATGTGAAAGGTATTTAGAATGGAAACCTGTTTCCAAACCTAACTTATTTTTATAAACAGGCTGTTTATAGGGTGTTTTGAAAGAAAAACCGGCTGTTTCAATGGTAAAAAATATACTCCAAAGGAAAAAAAATTCAACCAAATTTATTTTCAAACAGATTTTAAATACTGTTTTCGTGGTATTTTTAAAAATTGATTCCAGCAGTCACGGACTTGACATGACAAACAAAATGCAATAGACAGATAGCGTCAGCCAAAAGAAATGGGAAGACGTCGTCTAGGCACAGCTCATTCCGGCTACAAAGGCACTATTCTTGAAGTTGAGCCATCTCGACAGAAGCGTTTAAGGGTTTTATTTAATTTAATTTAATTACAAAGTTTTAATTATTTCAGTCGTCGTCATTCCAGAAGAAAATTGACGAGAATTCTCAGTTCTGAGACATCCGATTTCTAATTATGCACCCATCAAGTACTTAATAAGTGACCAGTAACTATAAACGCCACAAACTTGATTATTAATGTCATTAATCCTAACTCCGCCAACAAAACAAGACACTGAGCTGTCATCCAGTTTGGAGCTAATGTATCTCCAAACAAAAACGAACAATCAGCCTAAAACTTCATCAGTTATGAAAGTATCGAAATAAGCAAGCATTTTTAGCCCATCGACGGGTTTGATAACACGCTTTGTGTCACAGTGTGTGACAGTGTGAAAGATCAATCGATCTCCAATAGACTGTTATTCATCGAATCTCTCTGTGTATATGTCTAACAGCGAGATTTTAAATCAATCATTGATCAGTTACTAAAACTTCTAAAACTCGCATCAACCATAACGTAACATTAACATACAGTGTAATCTACATAATCTAATCGATTTTGACACAGAACCGCAGTTAACCGCGCGCGTAGAACCGGATGCGGTGAACAAAGATAAAAATAAGCCCTAAACAAATGACGTAAATAAAAGATCACCTCTTGTGTTGCAAGAAAAACCAAACGCTCAAGACATTCCGCCACATCGTTATCTTACGTTTATAAATCATACTAGATAAACAAATTTTATCAGCCCCTGTGCTCGACTTGGTACGCGCCCGCACTTCCCGCGAAATAGAGTCACGTGGTAAAACCACGTGCTAGGGAACAAAGCATCTTTGTATTGTTTAAAATTATGGCGGACAACTGTTGATGGCGTCGAGTTGCCCTTTATTGCGCAAAAAGAGTATTTGTCAACTCTGTGGACTGTCCAGACGCGCATATTTTGTTTTGATCACCAGTCCAAACGTCTCCGAATCGTCAGCGACTGGGATTTACTTTTTAAAGGAACGGATCTAAGTTCAACTGGTGGACACACTAACTGTTTGAGTCTTCGCGATGCGAATAAATGTGAGTACGATTGTTCCTTATTTTAGAATAATCTGTCATAGGAACGTCTAAGCATACGCGTTATGAAAAGGACAGTTGGATATATGGTCTTTCAAAGAGCGCTGTCGATTAATTTATTACCAAGAGCGGGTGAGCCATGGCTTTTGTTCATATGTGTTCGCTTAGGCCTGTTTCAAACGTCGTGCTACTGCCGTGCTAAGCTGGCTCGACTGTAGCTCGACTGCATCACGACACTAACACGACTTGGTTTCAGACGTCGAATTTAATTCACACAATGACAGTCGAATGGAACGGCTGTTGCCAAAAACAAAACACAAAAAATAAAGAAACGGTTTAGCAAACTTTTAATATATTCTAATGTATTTATAATTTATGAATTGAGTTCGGCACGGCGGTAGACGACCTCGTTTCAAACGTCGCGCTATTGCTGTGCTAAAGTCGAATTTAATTCGATCAACTGAGTTCGGCACGGCAGTAGCATGACGTTTGAAACGGGCCTTACCGGTCGTTTTGATACAAAGTATATTTCGATACAATACAACTGTTCAGATACAAATTGATTCAGTCGAGGTGTACAACCAATTTTTCGCGTAGTTGACATATAACAAAGACAGTTCATAACAGAAGCCAGCTCATATGTTTTTCTTGTTCACGGCTATAACTATACATCAGGTAATCGGAAAATTTTTGCAGTTTCACTGCTTTAAGTTCGTATCGAAACAACTCGTTTCCTTTATGCATCAGTCAATTCCAGCTGCGCCCTCCCCCCTCACCCGGGCTACTGCAGGGCATTTGCCCGCCTTTTCAGTATCGGGGTGGGGCATTTGCAAATTTTGCGCTGCCTGGTAGCCGGGCTTTTGCCAAACCGGGGCTATTCCGGAGCTTTTGAAATGCACGCGGTTTCCTATCAGAATATTACTACACAGAGGATATTACTGGAAAAAGGCAGATTGGCTCATCTGTCAAGGACGGGGTTGTAAAGGCATGTTCTCGATTTTATGCATGCATTTTTTCATTGCTTTTCAAGCCAGCAGAATTACATAGAGAAACTCGGGAGCTATCAACGTGAATCAACGTTTTTGGTTAGTGAATCAAATTTATGTATTTGAAGAAATCCTTTATTATAAAACTATAACATATAACTTTATGGTGCTCTATTAATTTTAATGTCAATAATTTTATATCAATACTAAAACCTACTAGAATCCTAGTGCCATTTTAAAGATTTCGAATAAAAAATCGCACATTAAAATGCTTATAACGGCACTATTCAACTGTGTGATCAATGAAAAATGTTGCAGTGTTGACGGAGGACGGGGCATTTGCTCTCTTTTTTTGTCCCCACTGCGGAGGATTTGACAGCTCTAGAGTCCCCACCCCCGGGTATTTCCCATCCAAGGCAAAAAAAATGCTAATGCTCAGGGGTCAGCCCGTGGGGGGGGGGGGCGTTGGTCTGGGCACAGCTGGAATCGACTGATGCATTACAGTCAATCAATGAGATTACATTATTGCTCTCATGCCAAAATATAATGTGTCAGGTTAATTAAGGTTTGTGTCTGTCCTCTTTACCTCACACATAGCAATACCAATCCACAAAACCAATGGTGAATGCTCTGGCTCAGGTCTTGCAAGCTTCAAAATGATTTTAGTGGAATCAAATATTGTGTTAGGTCTTGTGAAAATGAATGTATGTATAGTTAGCAGGTAAAATTCAATAATGAAATTATATATTATATATTCTATTGACTCAGTTGAGCATAAAGTGGTTATTTTTCTGTTTGGGAATTCCTTAGAAGTTTCAGGAACATGATATTTTGACATTTTAGTTTGTTACGTGTAAACAATCAGGACCTTATACATATAGCTGGTTTAATAAAGGTTGCTTTGGGTATTGGAAATTGAGTAATAGTACATGTAAGCTATTGTTTGGTGGTCACTCAGGGAAATCATTGAACAGTTATGACACATAGATATATATTTTTAGCAACTACTATAATTTGCAGTCTGTCCACTTTGAATTTCATTGTTTGGTATGCCCAAATGCCCAATAGGCAACCTTTATTGAATCAGCTATACACTGTAGCTTCTGGAGAAGCGACAACCACAAGCTATAAATGACATCCAGTATTTTTATTGTTTACATTCTAAAACAAAATTTCCTAGTAATGTCTTGTCTATACAGAAAATATGCAGTGACTTTGTCAACCCCTGCATCCTGCATCCCTGATGCATAAAAATTCCCAAAGAAGCAAAATAATAATATTCATGGCATGCATTCCAATGGACACAAAAGATCAATAAAAAATCTGAACATGTGTATTTGTAGAAATATCCCGTTCATTTATTCTGTGGCAGTTATTATGGCTGTTGTTGTTTTTTTTATAGACATATTTATCGCAACATTTGTTCTAAGAGCCTAAAGGGCTCATCTAGATAGCTTACACTGTTTACATTTGAATATTTTAAAAATACAAATGCACGTCAAGATCAAACACGCACGCACAAAACAAGTGAAAAAATAAAAATAAAAAACAAAAAAAATGTATATATATTATTAAAAAAATACACACACAGCAGCTAACAGAAGAGATTTGATAGCGAAATAAACGACTGGACAAGCTGAAACAACCTAACGTTAATTTGAAAATCAGCAGTAAAAATACCATTTAAAAGCCAATCGAATTTTTTCTTATCTGAGGCACAATGTCATATATTTCCACGTAATTGTGCTGCGGAGGTAAACAACTTTTCACACAGAGCAGCAAAACTTGGGCAGTATAGGAAATGATGTTTCGCATCTTCAATAGAATCATCACAAAGAGCAAAGGCAGGCACACGGCAGCAATTTTTCTGAAAAGGTGATAACTTAAGGCACTAAAATTAAGTCTCATACGAGTGTGAAAATTGACGCTGAACAATCCCCGATATAAAAAGATAGCTGCGGGATGGAAATTCAGGAATTTTGTTGTTGAAGGATGCATATTTCTTTTTAGCCTTTGTTTTTTTTTTAAAATAGAAGAACTATATTTTAATTTCAGTGTAACTGCAGTAATACAGAGTTTTGTAGTCTGTCAAGTCTGCTTATAACTGTATGGTCACATAAAGGCCCAAGCATTTTCAATCTCAGACTTGTATTTTTTTTTTAACTAAGACTCATTGGTTCTGGACTGGGACTCATGATTTTTCACAAGATGAGTCCCAAGACTCACCATGACTATTTGTAACCAAAATCACTGTTTTATTTCTCTAGTAGCTTTTTAATTTTTTCTGGTTCCCTCAGTGTCTATATTAACAGAGTTTCACAGTTTGAAAAGTGATATAATGTCAAACAGTCATGCAGACTGCTTGTGAAAGTAGGACAGTGGCAGGAAAATTAATGCCAAAACAGTGCAATGTATAAGAACTCTGTTAACAGATTAAATTTTGTATTCTAATCCCTCAATTAATGGTGGACGAAAATTGCCTTTCCAGTAATAACAGTACAACTTAATGATTGTTGGATAAAGAGGCTACAAGGAATGTTATTACATTTCGCTACGTTTTGCCAATTACAGTACTTGTTATTATGAAACTTGGCCTTAGAGAAGAAATTACCTCAAAGCAATGACGTTTTGTGGCGAAATTTGCCCAAGGACATGAAAAACAAAAGCACGGGCTTACAACAGTGATACTGACAGCGAAAGAAGATATCATCTTCCCGGATGAATTGTTTCACCTGATGGTAGCTTCCTTTAAATAGATTTAAAAAGCTACCTTAAACTTTAGGACTGAACAACTCAATAGCTTTGAGAAGGGTCTTTGTTTTCATGTTGATTAATTTGCCTGTTCACACTCCAAGCCATTTTATAGGATATCCACGAACCAAGGTACCACTGGACTGCCTTCTTGCTACCATCCAAATGTAATTTCAGTTATCTATATCAACAGCTCGTCTTCGACTGCTGATTGATTGCAAGGAATTGAGAGGACTCTGTCCGCAGGAGGGATCTACGGGGGTAGTAGTCACCCAGCCGGGAGACCCAGCAGAGCTCCAGGAAGCGGCATGTAGCCACACCTCTGACGCAGGGACTACGGCTGCAGCAGGTCCAAAAGCGGGGGCTGCAGAGGTACAAGCATCAAAGGAAACCATAGGAGTGGTCCAGCCAACAGCAGTGGCCACAAATGACTTGGCACCAGGAAGTTTTGGAAATGGAGCTGTTCCCTCCTCACAGCAAATTTTGAATGCTATTGCGTCAAAGTACCTACAGTCAATTAACCCGTCAACACCGGATGAGTTTAATGATTTTATTCAGTACATGGAAAAGGTGCGTAAAGTTGTCATTGTGGATGTTAAAACTGGAAGTTTGATAGTCACAGTGGAATGTAGCTCTCTTAAAATTATCGACGAACTTTGGGAAGACTATCGCACTGGTCATCTTAATGAAATGGCCCAGAAATTCCTTGCGACAGAGGAAATTCTGGTGGAGTTTGGCCTAGCTGAACTAAAAATCACAACAACTATTAACGAAGAGGAATACAAAGCTTGTCGTGAGCTTTTCTTGAATCCTTCAAGTAGGTATTTAGACTTAATCATGAATCCTAAATACACGTGCTGATGTTTAACGGGGGTATTTAATTGTTGAAAACAATTATTGCTGAATTAATGATAAAGAAATTTAGAATAGAAACGTTTACAGGTTCGAAATAGATTTATTATGCTAATTGAACGAAGTGGAGTGTAATTTGGTCTGAAATCATGCGGGTGATTTGATATGGCAAGTATGTATATCTAGCCGGAATTTTGAGAACGTTAACGCCAAATAGACCTTTTGCGTCCAACAAAGTAGCCAAAGTAGCCATCATAAAAACTAAGACTGCAACCATTACTTTTTTCTCCTCTCCTTCTTCCCTTCTCCTCGCTCTTTCTTTTTCTCCCTTGCTTTTCCTTCGTTACTGTGATTTTGGCGCTTATCTGGCCTAAGAAACCTGCCTGAATGAATGTCGCTAACGATTGAGCAAAATTGGAAATGGTCAAACAAAACCTTCCTTCATACTTTGTGTGTAGTTAGTACTTCAGATGAAATTACTCACTGTGGCATTTGTTTGACTGCTAACAAAAACCTGCACTGGTTATCAGGGGGGGGGGGGATTTTGGGGGTACAATTGTCTTCTTGAAAATTGGGGTTTTGTTAGGTAAATATTTCAGAAAGCAGACTAACATTTAAAAATCTGTTTACGTGGCAGCAAAATATCATCCTTCCTCTTAATGAAAATGTTATCAATATTTCTCTAGCCCTCCCCACCCCCCACAGGAAACGTTTTTTGACAAGGCTAAAAATATACATTTTGGAACACATTTTTTTTTATCACTAGTACTCCGATTTTGATCAAAATTACAACAGGATGTAAATATTTTCCCCTTTGTTAATCATTTCATGCTTAAAAATCTGCGGCACTGGATATATCTTTGCATGCCAATCAAATGAAAATGTATACTTGAGACAAAATAGTAAATTTTCGCAACTTTTGTTCGCCGCTATCTTTCTTTTATATAATTTCACTGGGGCGATGTTAAGCAAGAACGTGGGATGGTTCTTATAGATTGCATTCATTTACCTTTTACAGTCTGTTATCGAGCAGATTAACGATTTTTGGTCAACAAAAACAGGAATCGTGTGATTGGCGGTTAATTTATGCAAATTACTGCCCCCAATATAACTTGGCAGGAAAATCTAATACGACGTTTTCCACCAAAATTAATCGCTTCGATGGGATCGTTAATAGATAACTGACACATTAGCTACCCTTAACAAAACAGTCAATGCGAGAAACATTTCAGAGCCAAAGTCAAATCACACACAAGTCAACGTTAGATCTCATCGATCCATGCATGTCGTTGGGTTGAAACTCCTTCCTTCATCTTCCCATCTTAATGCACACCTCAAAGTTTCCTTTGAGAACCTGCCAATGTACTGCAGCTGCTTAAAGAAAGACGCAGTTTTCTTCACTGTGGAAGAAAATGTAGAAAATAGTGTTCTGTTGGATTGTCTTGCAATTTTCCAGCAAGGTTCAAGGCTCGGGGTTCAAGGTAGCGCAATGTGTCACGTTCTAAGCGCTACCTTTGACACCACTATTTTATAATTTCCTCTACTGCACGAATATTAAAATCTTCAAGAATTCATGAAAGTTTTATTAAGTATAATGTCAGAAAAACAGTGAACCCCATTTTATTTAGACTTAGACCCTTGTGAAAATGCTATTTTTCCTGTTTGAATTAGATTGAACAGAACTTGTGACTTCTCTCCTTCGAACTTGTTCAGGATTTTTGACCGATTTGGATATATGTCGAATCCACTTAGAAGAGAATCACGCACCAGTTTTAGCTCTACAACAGGTTTATTCTGTATACTGTAATTTTCTGATTACACACTTCTGAAACGCTGAAGACCCCGAGGGAGGGACAAAAAAAACCTGGTACATTTCTGCTCTATCTTTTGTGTCTAATACCGCGTGGCCGCTTATATACCCTAAAATATCCTTGTGGGAGTTAACACTATGAAATATACGCAGTATTGCCGGCTATAGGCGGAATGCAAAACACATATTGTTGATCAAAATTCAAAGCCGACTTGAATCCCGGGGGGTACTGCCTAAAATGGCCTATACGGAGAGGTTCCACCTGGAAGGGGTACCTTTTTCAGGCCTCAAGTATATGAGAGGTTTGGGATTTCACTTGTTGAAGTATATAAAAGGATAGGGAAAACTCATTTCGGTTGGTAAAAAGCCCAAAAAGGGCTTACAGATGTATCGTAGCTGTGAAAAGAGCAGAGTAAACGGTCTGGTTTTGTGATTTATTCATATTTTAAAGACAGTACATTTACAGCAGTTAAGAAGGATGCAAAGTTCTAAACTTGGATTGTGAAAGGGGTACCAATGTCAATAGAAGGTATACTGAAGGAATACCTTTTCTGTCAAAAATGGTATATAAAAGGGTAAGGGGTTGGACCTCGGGGCGGAGCCTCCCTGTATGGCAGGGTGCCAGTGTGAAAGGAAACTTTGTAGATATGTACTGAAGCTGAAGGAAGGGATTTGAACGCGGCGACATGCATTACTACATGGTGAATAACCACCTCAAACGAACCGTGACTTGTGTGTGATTTGACTTTGGCTCTGAAATGTTTCTCGCATTGATTGCTTTGTTAATTGTATGTAATATGTCAGTTATCTATTAATAATCCCATCGAAGCGATTTATTTTGCTGGAAAACGTCGAATTAGATTTTCCTGCCAAGTTATATGGTGAGATATTATCCCATACTCTCTTTCCCGTCTATGTGTTTCTTGTATTTGGCTTTATTTTTTACCTGGGTGTCGTGCATGACTCTTAAAGTGCAACTAACCCCCAAATTGTTTTTCGCTAAATGAAATCTCCTTATTTTTCTGATTACTTTTGAGAAAAAATATCGTGATTGACAAAATCCTCGCGTTTCCATGGCTGTTTAAAGTTGGGTCTCTTGTGTCCCATTACCGAGTTATTGTGGGAGCTGGGTACGAATGTTGTTGTGACGTCACCAAAGGAGGACATCTGCCGCGAACTCATGAGTAAAAGACCGAGAAGCGAGAAAGGGAAAATCATTTTAAGCGAGCGGGATGCTAAAACGGCCAAAATTCAACGGAATATGTCTTTAAGTGATGCAAGTTCCGAGAGAAGTTTTAATTCAGAAGATTCTGAGGCAAATTTGGCCGAAGTGGAAGATGAACAAAGTGATCGCGAGTCGCAAGTTTCATGTGAAAGCCTGGAAAATGACATTGCATATGCCAATGAACCCTTGGCTGATGAAGAATGGCTCATCGAAAAAAAAATAATAATAATAAATCATGTAAAACACAACTAACTACTTAACGTACTCGACACTACGGCTCGTCACAAACCCCTACCTATTCGGGAAAGGTGGTACGACAAGAAAATAAGTTTAATTAGCAAATCATCAACTTTGCAAGTGCATCTTGGTGTTTTTCTAAAATTTTTTTGCCATCACTGCACGGCCTCGACGTGAAAATTCCTAATTTCATGTTTTATGAAGGACGTGTCCCAAACAAACGATGATGAGCTTTTTTCCTATTCTGAACTTGGATATGAGATCGCATACATTTGACAAAGTATGCGACTTGCAATAATGGCTAGAAATTTAGAACGACTGGGCATTCACGTTTTATAAAAAAAGCGACGTGCTGGCCGCTGTCGTGATATCTTTTATCTTAACTTGAGTCATTGACGCGTGGCGGAAAAAAAAACTACTTCCGGTCACCGTATTAGACTCCTCCGTAGTCGTTGCTTAAAGACGCTATTAATGCATCAGTCAATACCACCTGCGCCCAGCCCCCCCTCCCTTCCCGAGCTACTGCGGAGCATTTGCCCGCCTTGTCATTCCCGAGGGTGGGGCATTTGCAAATTTTGCACTACCCGAGGGCCGGGCGTTTGCCAACCCTGGGGCCATTTCTGAGCTTTTGACACGAACGCGGTGTCCTATCAGAATAGAACTACACAGAAGGTTTTACTGGAAAAAACGCAGATTGGCTCATCTGTCAAGGATAGGAATAAATTGAAGAGGGTTGTAAAGGCATGTTCTCGATTATGCATGCATTTCTTCATTGCTTTAAGCCAGGATTACATAGCGAAATTGGAGCTATCGATGTGAATCAACGTTTTTTGGTTACTGAATCAAATTTCTGTTGATATTATTTGAAGAACATCCTTTCATATTTATAAAACTATTCATAACATACAACTTAACAGCGCTCTGTTAATTTTAATGTCAATAGTTTTACATTAATACTAAAACCATAAACTGGTGCATGTCGTTGCGGCGTGAAGTCTTAACTAGAATCCTAGCGCTATTAGAAAGGAAGACGTTAATTGAAACAAAAAATCGCACATTGAAATACTTAAATGGCACTATTCGACTGTGCGATCAATAAAAAAATGTTGCAGTGTTGACAGAGGACATCAGCTACATTCCTATCCAATGGTTCTACTGATACCTTTATTCATTTAAATGAAATATGGTCCTAGATATTGAGACAACATCTAATATTTCCTCTTTTTGTGGTGCTGTAGAGAATCAATCCAGTGTTGCTGATAACCGCTACAAACTTGGAACCGAGAAACGTAACCAACAGGATTTCAAATCAGTCCTCGAATTCCATCAGCGTTCGCTGCACATATATATTAAACAGTATGGAGAAGAACACCAAAGTACTGCTGACTGTTACTACGAACTGGGGATAACACAACATAATTTACGTGATTTTAAAGCAGCTCTTCAATCTCTCCAGCGTGCGCTGGACATACGCATTAAACTGGTTGGAGAAAAAAACCAAAGTACTGCTGACTGTTACTACTCACTGGGGAGAACACAGCATAAATTGGGTCATTTTAAAGCAGCTCTTCAGTCAAAACAGCGTGCACTGGGCATACGTATTAAACTGGTTGGAGAAGAACACCAAAGTACTGCTGACTGTTACTACTCACTGGGAAAAACACAGCATAAACTAGGCGATTTTAAAGCAGCTCTTCAGTCAAAAGAGTGTGCACTGGGCATACGTATTAATCTAGTTGGAGAAGAACACCAAAGTACTGCTGACTGTTACTACTCACTGGGGAAAACACAGCATAAATTGGGCGATTTTAAAGCAGCTCTTCGGTCAAAACAGCGTGCACTGGGCATACGTAATAAACTGGTTGGAGAAAACCACCAAATTACTGCTGACTGTTACTACTCTCTGGGCATGACACAGCATAAATTAGGTGACTTTAAAGCTGCTCTTCATTCAAAACAGCGTGCACTGCGCATACGTATTAAACTGGTTGGAGAAGAACACCAATCTACTGCAGTTTGTTACTACTCACTGGGGGTAACACAGCAACAACAACGTAATTTTAAAGCGGCTCTTCAGTCTCACCAGCGTGCCCTGGACATACGAGTTAAACTGTTTGGAGAAGAACACCAAAGCACTGGTGACTGCCTCTATGCACTGGGGATAACACAGCTGAAACTGGGTGATTTCGAAGGAGCTCTTCAATTTTTCAAGCGTGCCCTTTACATACGTATTAAACTGTTTGGAGAAGAACACCAAAGTACTGCTCACTGTTACCACTCACTGGGGGTAACAGAGCATAAACTAGGTGATTTCAAAGCAGCTCTTCAATCTCATCAGCGTGCGCTGGACATACGTATTACACTGTTTGGAGAGGAACACCAAAGTACTGCTGACTGTTACTACTCACTGGGGGTAATACAGCATCAAGAACGTAATTTTAAAGCGGCTCTTCAATCTTTCCAGCGTGCCCTGGACATACGAGTTAAACTGTTTGGAAAAGAACACCCAAGTACTGTTAACTGTTACTTAAATCTGGGGATAACTCAGGGTAAACGAAGTGATTTTAAAGCAGCACTTGAATCCTTCCAGCGTGCCCTGGATATAAGTATTCAACTGTTTGGTGAAGAACAACAAACTACTGCTGACTGTTACCGCGAACTGGGGAAAACACAGTATGAAGTAGGTGATTTCAAAGCAGCTCTTCAATCTCACCAGCGTGCCCTGGATATAAGTATTCAACTGTTTGATGAAGAACACCAAAGTACCGCTGACTGTTACCACGAACTAGGGAAAACACAGTATGAAGTAGGTGATTTCACAGCAGCTCTTCAGTCTCACCAGCGTGCGCTGGACATACGAATTAAACTGGTTGGAAAAAAACACCAAAGTACTGCTGACTGTTACTACTCACTGGGAATAACACAGCATAAATTGGGTGATTTTAAAGCCGCTCTTCAGTCAAAACGGCGTGCACTGGGCATACGTATTAAACTAGTTGGACAAGAACACCAAAGTAGTGCTGACTGTTATCACTCACTGGGGAAAACACAGCATAAATTGGGTCATTTTAAAGCAGCTCTTCAGTCAAAACAGCGTGCACTGGGTATACGTATTAAACTGGTTGGAGAAGAACACCAAAGTACTGCTGACTGTTCCTACTCACTGGGGAAAACACAGCATAAATTAGGTGATTTTAAAGCAGCTCTTCAGTCAAAACTGCATGCTCTGGGCATACGTATTAAACTGTTTGGAGAAATCCACAAAAGTACTGCTGACTGTTACTACTCACTGGGGATAACACAGCATAAATTGGGTGATTTTAAAGCTGCTCTTCAGTCAAAACAGCGTGCACTGGGCATACGAATTGAACTGTTTGGAGAAGAACACCTAAGTACTGCTGAATGTTACTACTCACTGGGGGTAACAGAGCATCAACAACGTAATTTTAAAGCAGCTCTTCATTCTCACCAGCGTGCGCTGGACATACATATCAAACTGTTTGGGAAGAACACCAAAGTACAGCTGACTGTTACTACTCACTGGGGGTAACACAGCATCAACAACGTAATTTTAGAGCGGCTCTTCAATCTTTCCAGCGTGCCCTGTACATACGAGTTAAACTGTTTGGAAATGAACACCCAAGTACTGCTAACTGTTACTTCAATCTGGGTATAACTCAGGGTAAACGAAGTGATTTCAAAGCAGCAATTGAATCCTTCCAGCGTGCTCTGGATATAAGTATTCAACTGTTTGGTGAAGAACACCAAGGTACTGCTGACTGTTACCACGAACTGGGGAAATCACAGTATGAAAGGGGTGATTTCGAAGCAGCTCTTCAATCTCACCAGCGTGCGCTGGAAATACGTATTAAACTGTTTGGAGAAGAACACCAAAGTACTGCTGACTGTTACTACTCACTGGGGTAACACAGTATGAACTAGGTGATTTCAGAGCGGCTCTTCAATGTCACCAGGTTGCACTTGGCATAAGTATTAAACTGTTTCGAGAAGAACACCAATGTACTGCTGACTGTTACTACTCACTGGGGTAACACAGCATCAACAACGTAATTTTAAAGCAGCTCTTCAATCTCATCAGCGTGCGCTGGACATACGAGTTAAACTGTTTGAGAAGAACACCAAAGTACTGATGACTGCTTCTACGCACTGGGGATAACGAAGCTGAAACTGGGTGATTTCGAAGGAGCTCTTCAATTTTTCAAGCGTGCCCTGGACGTACGTATTAAACTGTTTGGAGAAGAACACCAAAGCACTGCTGACTGCTTTTTCTCACTGGGGGTAACAGAGCATAAACTAAGTGATTTCAAAGCAGCTCTTCAATCTCACCAGCTTGCGCTCAGCATACGAATTAAAATGTTTGGAGAAGAACACCCGTTTACTGCTGCCAGTAACCGAGAAGTGGAGAAAACACAGCGTGCATTGTTGGCTTCATAGGAGGGCGTAAGTAGTTTTTTTGCAATGGGTATGCAAATTACTTTTTCGAATTCGGACAAAACTGCAAGGGAGAGTTGAATTAACAGGACCGTATATTTTAAGGTTTTTTGAAGGTCAGTATACCCTGTAGTCGGCTTATATTCTGCGTTTTGCTGGTGTCTAATTTAGGTGTCCTAATTAGGGCCAAAATTATAATCGAACCTTTTGGGTTTATTTGTATTTGACGGGTGATTGCACTTAAGTAGTTCTTTGATTAGACTGGCTCAGTTCAAACTGTGCTGATGGCTTCCCACAAGAGACTAAAAAATGGATGGAAGCTCTCCCAACGGACACTCGTAAGCGGACAGGTCTACTAACGGCCGCCTCCACGAAACCCTGTTTTTCTAAACACCCATACCAACTCCGCATTTTAGCGATATATAAGCGGTATATAACCGTTTTAAGCGGTCAGCTCCAGTTGCAGACAACTTTTCGTGGCCTGAGAGATTCTATGGGACATTTTGGAGCGACAAAAGACATCTGAATTTACAGTGTATGATATATTACAAAAACGTTGATGATCAACTGCACTGTAAATTGAAAAAAAAAAAAAACAAAAAAAGAATTAACTAACCTCGAATTTGTGGCTGTTTCTTTGAAAATAATACAGTGCATCCCGATTATGGTCTAATTTGGTCACATTTTTTAAATAAAGGTCGATGCGATTTAGGTTCCTTCCTTTGATCGCGCTGTTTAGGTTCAAATTGTACTTAAATGACTCCACAAGAGGGTGAACCAGGTTTGCATGGTTTTGTGGGACCAAATTGGAACTTTGAGAATGAAACAGAATTTACCGTGGTGAGAGAGCAACAAGCGTTCAATAAGTAATCTTTGTCGACACTGAAACCAAACCGGACCAAACCATGCTTACAAAAACCAACTCATGAAATGAAAACCTTGCTCAGTACGTGACCCATAGCGGGTTTACCTGCCGTATACTTAATTATAGGCAGTAGTATTTGATTCAACTCATAAATATATAGATGATGTTTTTAGGTTGTGCAGTTTGCTAAATTCTTCAAGAAAAAGTGAAAGTGGGAGACGTCGAGGTCGAAGGAAAAGAACTGGACAGAGAACAGTAGCAGGGTGGACGAGAGAGACACTAGACGCTTGCTTAATCAGCAAGAAATGTCTAGCTCCCAGCTCCATAGAGCAGCGCCCTTACGATCCAAGAGGGTTGCTGGACAGGTTTAGTTTACTGGCCTCGGTTGTTCTAACTTTGGATAGCACTATCCACTGTTTAAAACACTATCCAGCGAATAAGTATATTAGGGCAACCAATCGGTTATTCACGGGAGGGAGATTTATCCTGTGGATAGCGTTATCGACCTTTTGAACAACTGGCTCCTGGCGCAAAACCTCCAAGCTGGCCTGACGACGAACATTTAACATTTATTCGCCGAAGGCGAAGTTAATAGTTTTGAATTTTGGATTATTTAACAATATTAACTGAGTCTGAGGCGAATTGTTGTTTTAGTATATACACACGAAGTGATCCCAACGGAATCAGAAAGGAAGCCATTAAAAAAAAAAAAAAAACATTAGTTTGATTGACGGGTGAATTTATGCGTGAACATCTAACCGTAAACAGTAGATGCACAAGGGCTATCTTTAAAACAAGGAACTGGAATCGGGGAATGGTGAATCTTTAAAATGGGGAATATTTAAAAGCGGGAATCTTTAAAAGGGGGAATCTTTAAGAGTGGCTTTCCGTAAATATCGACCCACGGTCGGCACAAGTCCAAAATTTGATTTCGCTCATATTTGGCTCATCGATAACCCATAATGAGTAACGAAACATGCTGTAGTTAGTTTTCCCAAATAACGTGTTCGTTTGTCAAAATTCGAGAAACGCATTTTACCCGTTCAGAGCTCAAAATCTACTTCCGGCAAAGCGAAATTTTACACAAATTCCATTGACTCGTACGTCAAACCACAACGATTTGGCAGCCTTTGAAAAACACGGATAGTTTTTATGACCCTTTCAATTCTTTCTTATAAGTCGATAAATTTGTGAAAGCTGCAATAATTTTGTGGCCAAAAGGGTATTGTTAAAAATAGGCCCTATTGACAATTTCTACCGTTCAAAATTATAGGGATACAATGCGCTATAACTTAAAATTCCGCAAATTGACTTTCTACTGCTTAATTAGGCCCCAATCTATCAGAAAATTGAAACAAATCTCTGGGCAAACGATTTTAAGTAGCCTGCAAGACGTTGAGTTCAACCCAAATTTTGCAAAAAAAACAACAACAAAAAAAAGCGACATTGCCGTTGTTAAAAATAGCGTTACACGGCCCGTCACGCCAGTGTTACCAATAGATATGCTTTTTAAAAACAATTTACTTAAAGGCAGATTAAAAGCCAATTCGAAATTAAATCTTTCAGTAACCCTATTACTTTAGTGATTGCAGCATTTTCTTCAGATACAACATATAGGGTCCTTGGGATAGCGTCACAAACTTTCATGTTCAGTTTCAGACAGGCGATTTCCCTCAAAAAATTGTATATAATGCATCAGTTAATTCCACCTGCGCCCAGTCCCCAGGGCTACTGCGGGTGCGGGGCATTTGTCCGCCTTGTCAGTCCCGGGGGTGGGACATTTTGAAATTTTGCACCGCCTGGGGGCCGGGCATTTGCCAAGCCCCGGGCCATTCCCAAGCTTTTCACACGCACGCGGTTTCCTATCAGGATATAACTACACAGAAGGTTTTACTGGAAAATAAACGCAGATTGGCTTATCTGTCAAGGACAGGAATAAATTGCAGAGGGTTGTAAAGGCATGTTCTCGATTTTACATGTATATATGCATTTCTTCATTGCTTAACAAGCTAGAATTACGTAGCGAAATTGGAGCTATCGATGTGAATCAACGTTTTTTGGTTATTGAATCAAATTTCTGTTGATATTATTTGAAGAACATCGATCCTTTCGTATTTATAAAGCTATTCATAACATATAACTTTACAGCGCTCTATTAATTTTAATGTCAATAATTTTATATCAATACTAAAACCATAACCTGGTGCTTGGGCGTCTAAGTTTCATGGCGTAGGGTTACGGAGGATAAGGAAAGTCCTCAAGTCTGTCTTTCCATTTTAGGTGTTCTCATTCGTTCGTTACAAGGTTCTTCTTAGGTTTAGTATTATACTCTATTTTGTTTCCCTATTTTTATTGTTTTGTTTTGTTTTGTTTGTTGTTTGTTGACGACGATGTTCTCTTTCCAAACGCTGTTGAAAGGAACTTTCAGTCTTTTAACCTGTCATCTGCAGTTCAGTATTACAGCTAGAGTTTCCATGACACTAAAACGTCAACCAGTGCAAAGTCTTTCAGACCACAAAGCAGCCCTTACTTTTTGCGTAAGCCAAGAACGCGGAATAGTCCAAGGGATGGTCTGGAGCAAAACAAAATGGTCGTTCCCTCTTGTCTGGAGCAGGGGGGGCGCGGCGGGAAGGGGGAGGTGAATGAGACTGGGAAGAGAATTAAAAAATAAGTCTAAAAAATACAATAGAAAATGACAAAGAAAAAATAAAAGAAAGAAAACAAGAAAGAAAAAAAAATTTCGCAGTCTAAGAGCAGTTGAAAAATTAGTACTACCAAATCCGTTCCTGCTGATCAATAAAAAAGCGCCAAAAGTGCTCGACGCTCAAGTTGAATACCGTATTTATTCGAATTAGCGCCCACCTCGAATAAGCTCCCATCCTAAAGGCAGAAAAGTTAATAAGCGCCCAGCCTCGAATAAGCGCCCACCCCCACCCCACTCCCTCCCACACAAACTCGAATAAGAGACCCTTCCGAAGACAAAGCTTTCTTCAGAGCATTTACAGAAACCTTCCTTTGTTACATGAACTAGCTTTTTAAATCCATTTGCGATGTGTTTGTTGGATTTTTGATCTCGAATCAATTAATTATTGCTGATTTTTGGGCGATTAAAGTGATGCACTTCGACTTCATGAAAACAACATGGCGGCCCTAAAACAATTTTATTTCGCTTATTTCTTTGAGACTGGGGAGCCTAGGCTTCATAAGCCTTCTGGTTTCTTCTGGGATCCCTTGCAACCTTACTATTCCTATATGTATTCTTGTACTGTATTATATTTTGGCTAAATAAAAATGAACTGAACTGAACTGAACTGAACGCCTTGCTAAAGTTTGAAATCTCGGCAACGCGAAACTGCAAACGCCTAACTGCAAACTGCGGTTTGCGTTTTGCCTGATGCTAAAGGTCTCTAGTGTCTTCATTACGGAGTACATAAACATCAGGAGCATCAGTTATGAAAACTGCACAGCAGCAACAAAGCAGGGAAACTTTAGCTCGTGGACCAGTAACAGCTACGAGAGTAAAACAGAATTCGGCTGCGACTTCGATGGCTCCCCTAGTGTAAATGGGAGCGAAAACAATTTTGGACAATACCGATTAAATACCACCAACTTCGCCTATCGCTGTTCGTCATCTTCTGCCTCTACAACTCAGCATTGGCTTGGATCTGTCTACAGCTTGTAAACCTTAGGTTTAAAAACGGCAAATGGCTAAAAAGCTTTGCAGGCTTTTCCTACAAACACCGGAATAGCTGACATTAAGCATATTAAACCTGTAAATCAGTGTAATACACTAGGTAGCCTGCTTACAGGCTCTGTACTGCCGCAATTTGTAATAGTCATCGTAGTTTATAATACCTATCCCAATTTGTAATAAACCGTGTCGCACTTTTTGGCAATCGAAGCCCTCCCCTGACTTTTACCACACCTACAGCGACACCTACATTGGTCTCCTTCTAGCCGGTGACAGGAGGTTATTGGCTCCTGCCGGTGAGCAAAGACTCTGTTGCTTGATCGCAGGCTAATCTCCTTCAGGTGTGTTATTTATCCTCATCACCCCCTCCCATCGCATTCACCACTGTACCTTTCTCCTGGCGCGCGTGTTCTTCTCTAGCGTGCGTACACAAAATCGTTTATCTTCCTATGCGCTTGCTATGCAGGCCAAAACAAATGAAAAATCCAATGCATTCTACCTTGAAATTACCGTTACCCAAACAGATTACTAGGGGCCCTTTGAGGATGGATGCCCAGGTACTTGGCTCCATTGTGGTATATATTTATCTGAGTGATTTGGCTTTTTGTGTACCAGAGAATTTTCATGAGAAGTTTCCGGTTTTGGTCAAGTCTGTTTTTAAAATAGTGACCTGTGCTTTGCTGCTGAGGCCGACACCGAACTATCCCTCCACAAGTAAGCTGCGTGACAAGCGGCGTATCTGTTTGTTTTTTAGGGCAAAGGGAGAATTACGAGGGCGCGCGCGAAGAGAGAGTAGGGAGCTTAAGCAACAGCGTTTTTGAGCGACGGACGTCAACCGGAAGTGGACTTTTTGCATCATTGGGGAGCGGTTTGGTTGAAACTCTCGGGTAAATCGTCTTTAAAAGAGAAAAGAAACTCAGCAATACAAGTTTGTTAGCGTCAAGGCATATAAAAAGGGAGAAGGCCTCACTTCCGGTTGACGTGCGTCGCTCAAAAACGTCTTTGCTTAAGGTCCCTATTGTTTCCCTCGTGCACTCTGTGAAACTATCCAATAAACTAACTGGGGCTTCGCCGCACTCGACAGAAAACCTCAGACACCCCCGGTAGGTTTTTCAGTTTTCATTTCCTGTTTTTCATTGAATTAGAGTCTTTTGTCCCTTTCTAATCCCTCTGATCTGATTGGATGCTAATGTCCTATAATATGGTAGCGTTGTATACCGTAAACTTCCGCTTATAAAACCCTGGGCCTATACAACTTCGTAAGGGGCTTTAGGAGGGCTTTAAATGGGGGAAAATGGGGGGCTGACATATCCGCACTAAAAAAGAGCGTTTCCAAATAAGACGCATAGCAGTGCTCATCAAAAGACTTTTTGATTTACTCGATTTTTAAGCTTCAAAACGTCGTAAATAATATAGAATAGAATTTGTTTCAGTACAAGCTAGGGTGGGGTCGGGGAGGCTATAGCTAGACCAGATCTTCAGATGAAATCTTCAGATAAGGATCGGGGGCGCCTGTCATCCAGACCCTGAGATAAGAGGGGGCCCGGTCTCAAAAAATTTTTTTTCGGCTCTTCGGGTCTCATTTTGGTCTGAAAATAAAGGGGGGACCCGGGCCTCTCTCCTGGATCCGCCACGGGGATGGATATTTTTGCTTACAGGTAGATGGGACTATTACTATACTAGGGGATTTATAAGTTCGGGGGGAGGGGTGTTCTAAGCGGAAGCGAAGGTTAGTCGGTAGTCGACTTTCGTTTTCAGATGTCGTTCCCGAAGTATAACCTAGAAAGTTGAGAGATTTCCAGTTCTGTTATTACCTGTTCTAATCACTGTGTCCTTGAAAGTAGCAGGAGTTTCAGGAATTGAGGTAATTTTATGATATATTTTTGTATGATGGCCAGTTTGCCAAATGCTATTTTATGAGATGTAGGCTTGGGATGTAGGCACTGTGATTTTATCTCGCTCTACTAATTCCTTTCGGTTAATTGTCTACTATCGGGTGAGTTCAATCGAGTTCCCTTTCCAAAAACACGCGAAAAAATCAAAGGACATCTTATAATGTGGAACTGGAAAGCCCTTTATTCCATATGACCGCCGTAAAATGGGTTTAGGTTTGTTAAGCTGAGGTTGTTCGCTTACTCAACCAACCGTGGAATCTAATTTTAGCCATTGAAGATGGACTTTCTGCCTGCTCCGACAATTCGCTGATTTTCAGCAAACACTTGTTTTTTTCTTTCTTGACGAGTTATTATATGCTGCCTTCCGCAGTCCGTTACCTTATTTCTTAACTTTCAAGAAAAAGTATTATGATCGCATCTCCATTGTGATGCCCGCAATAATAGAATTCATTGTAGGTTCTTGGGTCATCAGATATTTGCAAAGTATTAAAAAAACTACTAGTACTAGTAAATTTTTAGCAAAAAACTTTAACAGTGAAAGTTAAAGAAACAAATTTATTAAATTACGTAATATACTAATAAATGGAGAAACGGGCAAAAAAGAAATGACTTTTTTGCGAGAAAATGCATTTATTAGTATTTAAATAATGTATAATAATGAAAGGAAAAGGCATTTAAGACAGACAAGGAACGGACAAAACGGTTCGAAAGCAGGGGAGAAAGAAAGCTACTTTCTACTGTTCTTTTGTCTCACTTGACAGGAGATACTTAGTGGAAGTTTCAATTGGTAATTTGTTTTTCCTGTGTGATTGTGAAACCCCGGTTTTGGCCGCACAAACCCTTTACTTCCTCCTAAATTTATAATATTTTTCCTCTCTATCTTTCGTGTTTTGTGCAACCCTATACAAGATAATTTAATTATTGTAACTACTAAGCTCGTTTAGTTCTTAGTTTTTGCTATTCTGAGTAGTTTTTGCCTGATCTCTTTTGATTTAAGCTGTTCCTGTAAGTTTTAAGTTGACAAAATAAATGACGTCTCCCGCGTTCGTTTGGCGACCTGGGCCGCTTCAAATAATGGCATGACATCGCGCTACTTAACGTCGCACGCAAAGTGTTGTGCAGAGTGGTTTTGGAGAGGATTAAAATGGGACTGGATGTATAATGATATCCAAAATTTAGTATAGGCAATAGCCGTACTCCAAAAACACCATGCCACTGATAACAGACACGAAGTTATCATAAATTATCTAATTCTTATTATTCATAACTTAATATTTAAGTAACTTGTATTAGCTAATCCCGGCCTTTCCCGCTCTTCTTGGTTGTCTCACAAGGGTCCATTCTAGAACCAGTGTTATTTATGCTTAGTTAAGGACCTCTGTTAGTCCGTAAACACTAGTTGACACCGAAGATGATGTGGACCGTGGAAGTACAAATTTAAATCAAGATATGATCGTCGCAGTGGTAATTGCAATTTAAGCTATTGCAAAGTAACCTGAAAAAAATTTCGGGACTTCAACGGGACTCGAACCCATGGCCTCTGCGTTAGCGCTGCGGTTATAATTTGCAATTACTTAAGTTGCAATTACCACAGAGAAGCTCATATGTTTATTTAAATTTGTAGTGATTTCCGCAGCTCACATCATCTTCGTGTTTATTCTTTTCACGGGTTAAAATGAACGCAACAAATTGGCCTACTTTCAATGTATCGGTCTTCATAGCTCAAATGGTAGAGCACTGTAGCGTACTGCAGCGCTTAAACGAAGAGGCCATGGGTTCGAATCCCAATTTTTTTTTCTGGTGAATTTGCAATTACCACTGCGACAATCATATCTGTATTTAAATTTGTATTTCCGCAGTTCATATCATCTTCGTGTTTCATTCCTTTCACGGGTTAAGTTGAACTCGACAAATTGGCCTGCACCCAATGTACGGGTCTTCGTAGCTCAATCGATAGAGCAATGCAGCGCCAACGCAGAGGCCATGGGTTCGGATCCCCTTGAAGTCCTGCAATGTTTTTCGGGTTAATTTGCAATTGCTTAAATTGCAGTTACGATCATTCATTTAAACTAGTTGACACTTTCAAACGGCAGGGCTATCAGCTTTTATAGACAACACTTAAACCCTCCTGGCATTTCAGAAAAAAAGAGAAAATGGATGCAGCTGCTTCACCAAATCAGGCTGTTAAACTTCGATCTGAATTACTAACATTGATCCGGGATTCAAGGAAATGGTTTCCAGATTAAGATAAAAATTTTTGTTAACTAACGTTATTCTTTATTTTAACAGCAAAAACTACGCTAGGATGGCTCTGCAGCCTTACCGCGAAGAAGATTTAAATTTTTTCAAATTCGCGTCTCTTGTGTTGAATGAATTTCCAAACGCCCTGAGACAGACATTTAAAGCCATGTGGGACAACACCTATGGACATCGCCCTGGCTTCCAGCTCTGGGATGATTCCACTGCCGTGAGAAATTTGTTTTCCGCTACAGAAGGTGGCAGAACCAAAGTTCCTGTCCATCAGTCATATCACGAATGGGATTGCACTGCGTTGTTCCAGGCCACCATCTACTCGCGAGTCTTCACCTCACATCACGGAACGCTAAATGACGTGTATGTTAAGCCCCGTGGATTATCACATGGCCATTTTCATCCGTCCGTAGTGAGCACAACTGGAAACAATGCGGAAACCTATGCATTAGCGATTGATCAGTTACGCCTTCTGAGGAATTCCGTTTGCCACTCAACAAGTTCTGAGATAACAAAAGTAACCTTTGACCAGCAGGTGAAACATGCCAAAGACGCATTCCAAGCTCTGGGTGTCTCAACGGCTCCAATTGATGCTGTTGGTAGTTTATTAGAGTCAGACTTTCCCACAAGTAAGGTCCGTAAACTTGAGCAGGCTATCAATGAAGAGAATAAATCGTACATAAAATTTCTTGAGGGTGTGAATTCAGACATTGCAGAGTTGAAGAAGAAAGTGGAAAGCGATATTGCTAGCAAAGAAGACGTCGCCATGTTGGCACGAAAAATAGATGAACAAAAAGCTGTGCAAGACGTCAGTGATAACAAAGAAGACATCACTATGTCGGCGCGGAAAGAAGGTGAGTTAAAAGGCTAGTGAAAAAAATGCGCAACTCCTTTAACAAAGCTTATCAAGCTAATCTACCCAGGTGAAAATGTAACTGAAATCCTAAGCAAAATATTTTCACCACCTCCAAAACTGTAAATATGATTGTATTGGACTTGAAAGAAATCCCGGCACCTCTTATGGGCTCTTGCCAAGTCAGGAGAGTAATTTACAGATTTCACTAGATACAAAGCCGTGCAGCGAGGGTCTTAATCGAGGCAGGAGAAATAGCTCGTGAGTCATTTGTTTGAGATTCCCAGCGGTAGCTTTTGTCGGCTGCTTATTATTACTTTGCACACCGAGTTACTGGCTATATCTGGGCTATACATAGTCAATTTGAATTCGCTATAATTTCAGCCTCAGTAAGGTTAATTACTTCTTTTTATGCATCAATAACATTGTTGCTATACTGGCAGTTCCATAAAAGATGAAAAATCCCAAAACAGAAATGAAGGGTATGTATCCCAAACTCAGTACCAGAAAGCCCCGACACTCCAGGGGCCAATTTACCTTCCTCCAATTCCACCCATGATCATCACATAGCTACTTTTTCCTGTACACTCGTATCGAATGACTCAACTAAAAAATATGCTCTCATCACCCAAACCAAATATCTGATATCCAGTTGCCTTTTTCTCTTTTAAGATATCCCAATATCACTACCCCAATCAAAGTTAAAGGGTGGCAATCGTTTTGCAGAGAACCAATCTTGTGAAGATGAAAAAATTAACAAAATCGGAATTGACCAATCAGCTCTTCAAGCTCACCAGCGTGCCCTGCACATACGTATTAAACTGTTTGGAGAAGAACACCAAAGTACGGCTGACTGTTACAACGAACTGGGGATAACACAGCATAAGATGGGTGATTTCAAAGCAGCTCTGCAGTCAAAACAGCGTGAGCTGGACATACGTATTAAACTATTTGGAGAGGAACACCAAAGTACTGCTGTCTCTTACTACTCCCTGGGGATAACACAACATGAAGTAGGCGATTTCAAAGCAGCTCTTCAATCTTACCAGCGTGCGCTGCACATACGTATTAAACTGTTTGGAGAAGAACATCAAAGTGCGGCTAGCTGTTACTACGAACTGGGGATAACACAGCATAAGATGGGTGATTTCAAAGCAGCTCTGCAGTCAAGACAGCGTGAGCTGGACGTACGTATTAAACTGTTTGGAGAAGAACACGAAAGTACTGCTCTCTCTTATTACTCCCCGGGGATGACACAGAGTGAACTAGGTGATTTCAAAGCAGCTCTTCAATCTTACCAGCGTGCGCTGGACATACGTATTAAACTGTTTGGAGAAGAACATCAAAGTGTGGCTAGCTATTACTACGAACTGGGGATAACACAGCATAAGATGGGTGATTTCAAAGCAGCTCTGCAGTCAAAACAGCGTGCGCTGGACATACGTATTAAACTGTTTGGAGAAGAACACGAAAGTACTGCTCTCTCTTACTACTCCCTGGGAATAACACAGAGTGAACTAGGTGATTTTAAAGCAGCTCTTCAATCTTACCAGCGTGCGCTGGACATACGTATTAAACTGCTTGGAGAAGAACATCAAAGTGTGGCTAGCTATTACTACGAACTGGGGATAACACAGCATAAGATGGGTGATTTCAAAGCAGCTCTGCAGTCAAAACAGCGTGAGCTGGACATACGTATTAAACTGTTTGGAGAAGAACACCAAAGTACTGCTCTCTCTTACTACTCCCTGGGGATGACACAACGTGAACTAGGTGATTTCAAAGCAGCTCTTCAATCTTACCAGCGTGCGCTGGACATACGTATTATACTGTTTGGAGAAGAACATCAAAGTGTGGCTAGCTATTACTACGAACTGGGGATAACACAGCATAAGATGGGTGATTTCAAAGCAGCTCTGCAGTCAAAACAGCGTGCGCTGGACATACGTATTAAACTGTTTGGAGAAGAACACGAAAGTACTGCTCTCTCTTACTACTCCCTGGGAATAACACAGAGTGAACTAGGTGATTTTAAAGCAGCTCTTCAATCTTACCAGCGTGCGCTGGACATACGTATTAAACTGCTTGGAGAAGAACATCAAAGTGTGGCTAGCTATTACTACGAACTGGGGATAACACAGCATAAGATGGGTGATTTCAAAGCAGCTCTGCAGTCAAAACAGCGTGAGCTGGACATACGTATTAAACTGTTTGGAGAAGAACACCAAAGTACTGCTCTCTCTTACTACTCCCTGGGGATGACACAACGTGAACTAGGTGATTTCAAAGCAGCTCTTCAATCTTACCAGCGTGCGCTGGACATACGTATTAAACTGCTTGGAGAAGAACATCAAAGTGTGGCTAGCTATTACTACGAACTGGGGATAACACAGCATAAGATGGGTGATTTCAAAGCAGCTCTGGAGTCAAAGCAGCGTGAGCTGGACATACGTATTAAACTGTTTGGCGAAGAACACGAAAGTACTGCTGTCTCTTACTACTCCCTGGGAATAACACAGCGTGAACTAGGCGATTTTAAAGCAGCTCTTCAATCTTACCAGCGTGCGCTGGACATACGCATTAAACTGTTTGGAGAAGAACATCAAAGTGTGGCCAGCTGTTACTACGAACTGGGGATAACACAGCATAAGATGGGTGATTTCAAAGCAGCTCTGCAGTCAAGACAGCGTGAGCTGGACATACGTATTAAACTGTTTGGAGAAGAACACCAAAGTACTGCTCTCTCTTACTACTCCCTGGGAATAACACAGAGTGAACTAGGTGATTTCAAAGCAGCTCTTCAATCTTACCAGCGTGCGCTGCACATACGTATTAAACTGTTTGGAGAAGAACACCAAAGTGTGGCTAGCTGTTACTACGAACTGGGGATAACACAGCATAAGATGGGTGATTTCAAAGCAGCTCTGCAGTCAAAACAGCGTGAGCTGGACATACGTATTAAACTGTTTGGAGAAGAACACCAAAGTACTGCTGTCTCTTACTACTCAGTGGGGATAACACAGCGTGAACTAGGTGATTTCAAAGCAGCATTTCAATCTTAGGGACGGACCATTACAAAACTTATGGGGGGGGAGGGGAATTTTCGAGCCGCAGGAATTTTTTTTCGTTATCAAATTCCTTGTAGGATTAATTGGCGTGCAAGAATGTTTTTTCATTTAATTTTACCTTGCGCGAATATTTTTTTTTTACTTCGCCCGCCCCCTCCACCCCATAAGTTTTCTAATGGTCCGTCCCTTACCAGCGTGCGCTGGACATACGTATTAAACTGTTTGGAGAGGAACACCAAAGTACTGCTGACTGTTATTACTCACTGGGGATAACACATCGCGCAGTAGGTGATTTCAAAGCAGCTCTTCAATCTCACCAGCGTGCGCTCGGCATACGCATTAAACTGTTTGGAGAAGAATATTGGAAGAACACCAAAGTACTGCTGACTGTTACTCCTTACTGGGGATAACACAGCATGAACTAGGTGATTTCAAAACAGCTCTGCAGTCAAAACAGCGTGTGCTGGACATACGTATTAAACTTTTTGGAGAAGAACATCAAAGTACTGCTGTCTCTTACTTCTCCCTGGGGATAACACAACATGAACTAGGTGATTTGAAATTATCTGTTCAAAATCATCAGCCCGCCCTGGGCATACGTATTAAACTCTTTGGAATAGATCATAAAAGCACTGCTGCCAGTGTCCGGGAAGTGGAGAAAACACAGCGCGCATTGGATGGCTTGAAAGGAGGACATAAGTGGTCTTAGTTCAATTCACTGGACTTGAATAAAAAGGGTATGTAATATAGGATAATTTCGATGTTGGTAAGAAGAATTTTATCTGATCTTGTTAGTTAAGTTATTTACCAATTACGTCTTCACTCTTAACAGAGTATTGCAGACTGCTTTAAATGATAAAAATTGCAACAATGAATAGAACAATAACGTAAAATTACTAATCAGTATGTACGAATCACACACGAATTGCCTAAATGAACATGACGAAATAGAGGCTATAATTTGTGGTGGGAGATTGTTCCACTGTGCAATTGTCCATAAAGGTAAAAAGAGTTCTTCTACTAATCACATGTACATCGTGGCTGTTCAAATCAATGACTGAGAGACGAGAGCCTGGTGTCCATTCTACTCTTATGTTCTCTCTGAATCTTGTCGCATTCGTAAGTGGCTTATCCATTACTCTGTTTGTACAGCATACAGAGATCAGATCAGATCGTCAGATCGCTTAGGCTCCAGAGATCTCAACTTAACAGCGATTGAAATAATCGAATTTCCTTGGGCTCATTTGTACCCTGAAGGTGAATGATCTGAAAGGCTTGCTTGAAGCTGTCCTCGGATAGCTTCTTCACGAGACTGGATCAGAATTTTCTTCCACGAGACATTTGGCGTTGAAACAGACCCACGCATTTTCAGTAGTGTTAGATATGTATATAAGAGATCTAATGTTCCACGCACTGTAACTTCAAAAGATTCTGTTACACCTCAAATTTGGTACGTTTGTTTAGGTGAAAAGGAGAATCCAGTACACCATTACAGTCTAATTCGGTCCCTACAGAATCTGTCGGGCGAGCATGTTACGAGCGAGTACAGATTATACGTAATTATAAATGACTTCACGAGAGATTGAACCAGATTTGGTTCTGCATGACCAAATTTGCATGCATTTTGGGACAGAAGCGGATTTTTTGAATTTACAGTGCTGAATTAGGGACATGCGTTCAATTTTTCCCGGCACCGATACAAGCTTCAATAAGGAACTTAAGCAACGATAATATCTTTTAAATATTAAGTCTGTAAAATAACTTGTTTGAGATAGTTAATAGTTTTTAAATAGTTAAAATTTCTAAGACTAGTTAGTTTTTAAATACCATTTTTGCTTGTTTTTTAAATTGCGCCTATTAATGTTAATTTCTATCTTTTTACAATGACAGTGTCAACTTATTTTAATATTAATTTTGTTTTTATGTTTTATAAAGGGCCACAACGTTATCAGTTTTATCATAACTGTCACGTGTTTGCCCTCTTTAAATAAAGGCGTTACCTTACCTTACCTTACATGGGCGACGGTAACAAGAACGTCAAAAGAGCAATGACTATGCTAATTAAACCAACAGTATGCACTGTGTTCCTGTAGCCTAATTCACCCCAAAATAGAATTAATTGTAATTATTTTGTATCCCAGCAAACAGAGTTCAAACAAAGGAGGACTCCGCCAACATCAGTCAGTCTCTTGTCAATGTCTTAATATCTAACAGAACATAAATCATGAATATATATCCGGAAAGGACTAAGACGGTAGTGGCGGATCTAGGGGAGGGGCCCGGGTTCCAATATTATTTTTAAGCGAAATTGAGGCGCAAAGGGCCAAGGAGAATTATTTTCGAGGCAGAGCCACCCCTTATCTTGGGGATTGGATAAGGAGGGGGCGTGGGGGGGGCACTAACTTAAAGGTCAAAGATCTGAATCCACCATTGCACTGTTCGCATAAAACTTAGATCTTAGGGTGAATTCAAGAGCCGACTGTTTGAATAAGAAATTATAACGCGCTGAAGTAAAGAATTATAGAACCAGCAACTTATCCTGTTATCAAAGGAGTTTTAAGGATCCTATGAAAGTGAACGACAACTTTGGTTTTAAGGCAGTACATGTTTTTATAACATGACATGATAAATCTTCAGTTGCAAATTACTTCTCAGAGTATGAGTTTTAATAGTCCTGGTGCCGCAGCCAGTTGTACAAAAGGTGGTTTAGCTCTATCCTCTAAATAGCTCATTTGGTTTCCCGAATTCTTATTCACTAGATAATGATTTATTTGATAGAATGATAGGCTCTTCACATGACTCGATCACGTGACCAACTTTCGGTAAACACGAAAACAGTTCACTTTTGAAAAATTTTGTTAGCGCAAGCTGAAAGAGCATATTAAAATTAGGTAACCTGAGAATTTTCTGCCGTATTTCTCAAAAGTAGCGATTGCAACGGCCCCCGAAAGTTAGAAGCATTTGTATGAGAAAAACAAGTTTTGCGGAAATATTTCATGACAGTTTTAAAATTTCGAAATTACAAGGATTTGTATGGAAAACCATGCAAGCGTGACTGGATGGCAAAAGTTGTTTTTCTCATAGAAATGCTTCCAACTTTCGGCGGCCGTTGCAATCGCTACTTTTGAGATACGGCAGAAAATTCTCAGGTTACCTAATTTTAATATGCTCTTTCAGCTTGTGCTGACAAAATTTTTCAAAAGTGAACTGTTTTCGTGTTTACCGAAAGTTGATCGCGTGATCAAGTCATACAAAGAGCCTATAGTGCTATCTATCTTTTGAAAAATTTTTTTTTGTTTAATATGACGAGAACGGCCAGGCCATCTAACCGCTATCTTAGTTAGGTAACGTTAATGGTTATACATCATTCAGCGACTGACGTCAATAATGTAATAGTATATTCCGTTTCCGAATTTGGTTAGCGCTACCAGTCACTGATCATGCAGGAAAGCGAGCCCACCGCATTCCTCTCTTCCCTTTCCGGGAGGAACCGAAGACCAGACAGTGGAGAGTGGTAGAAATCCAGCCTACAACTGCTTTTGAAGAACAAGCCGAGGTATTATCAGAAAATGAGAGGTACTTTGAATGAATAATAATGCCGAATATGGATATTTACGAAACCATATTTCTGTCTCCCTTCTAGGATCATATAAAGGTCTAGTGGCTCGTGACTACGGGCTAGAACCAGTCCTTTTTCTTTCTTTTATATTTCAGTTTCTTTCAATTTTTTCGTATGGGAAATCTTATCTATTGCCCAGTTAGGTTGTCAAAAATATATATACTGTATTTCCCTAAACTCTGCATCCCTTGCGGCAAGCTCATGACATAAATCAAGAGTCAACGATGTTTACATGCTCTTTTCCAAACAACTTCTGTCTTATCTTTAGTGCGCGTTCCTGAGATTGATGGGCTGAAGATAAATCCCCTAGAGCGCGTTGTGTGTCTCCAAGAGAATGAAAAATGTCTGCCGTGCTTGGATGCTCTTCTCCAAGAAGCTTTATTCTGATATCAAGTGCATGCTTTGTAGACTCGAGTGCTGAAGTATAGTCGCCTAAAGCGCGCTGTGTGTCCCCAATAGAGTGATAGATGTCGGCTATGCTTAAGTGTTCTTCTCCAAGCAGCTTGAGTCTAATAGCAAGTGCGCGTTTACCAGACAAGAGCGCGGAAGGACAGTCGCCTAAAGCGCGCTGGGTGTCTCCTATGGAGTGATAGATGTCGGCTGTGCTTAAGTGCTCTTCTCCAAGCAGCTTGCGTCTAATGGCAAGCGCACGCTCTCCAGACTCGACCGCAGAAGGATAGTCGCCTAAAGCGCGTTGTGTATCCCCAAGGGAGTGGTACATTTCAGCTGTGCTTAAGTGTTCTTCTCCAAACACCTGACGCCGGATGCTTAGGGCACGCTTTGCAGACTCGAGAGCTGCGGCATAGTCGCCCATAGCGCGCTGCGTGTCACCAAGTGCATGGTAGCTCTCAGCTATGCTTGGATGGTCTTCCCCATACAGCTGGAGTCTTATGCTTAGAGCTTGCTGTGCATACTTAACAGCAGTTGGAAAATTGCATCGGACCCGTTCAGTGACTCCCAATGTGTGGTAACTGTCAGCTATGCTTGGATGGTTCTCTCCTACAGTGTTTGTGATTACTGAGCAAGACTGTAATTGTTTGGTTGATGTTTCCTTGCCTGAATGACAAAAACAAAACGAAATTTTCTGGATTACAAGAGAGCCAGAAAAATCATTTTTTCAAGAAACCTAAAAGTAATTCCCTTGAAAAAGGATGTACTCCAGATTTTTTTCAAACTTGGCACAACTTGTTTGAGCGAAAGAGGACGGACACAAACCTTAATTAACCTGACACATTATATTTTGGCGTGAGAGCAATAATGTAACCTCATTGATTGACTGTAATGCATCAGTCGATTCCAGCTGTGCCCAGACCGCCCCCACGGGCTGACCCCTGAGCATTAGCATTTTTTTTGCCTTGGATGAGAAGTACCCGGGGGTGGGAACTCTAGAGCTGTCAAATCCCCCGCAGTGGGGACAAAAGAAGAGTTGATCACACAGTTGAATAGTGCCGTTATAAGCATTTTAATGTGCGATTTTTTATTCCAAATCTTTAAAATAGCACTAGGATTCTAGTAGGTTTTAGTATTGATATAAAATTATTGACATTAAAATTAATAGAGCACTGTAAACTTCTATGTTATGAATAGTTTTATAAATATGAAAGGATGTTCTTCAAATACATAAATTTAATTCACTAACCAAAAAACGTTGATTCACGTTGATAGCTCCCGAGTTTCTCTATGTAATTCTGCTGGCTTGAAAAGCAATGAAAAAATGCATGCATAAAATCGAGAACATGCCTTTACAACCCCGTCCTTGACAGATGAGCCAATCTGCCTTTTTTCCAGTAATATCCTCTGTGTAGTAATATTCTGATAGGAAACCGCGAGCATCATCAAAAGCTCCGGAATAGCCCCGAGTTTGGCAAAAGCCCGGCTATCGGGCAGCGCAAAATTGGCAATTGCCCCACTCCTTGTACTGAAAAGGCGGGCAAATGCCCCGCAGTAGCATAAAGGAAACGAGTCGTTTCGATACGAACTTAAAGCAGTGAAACTGCAAAAATTTTGCGATTACCTGATAGTAGTAAGTAAAATGGGTATCCTGCCTCAGTCTGACCATAATTGTAACGTTCTAACTCAAAATAAAATCCCAGATTATGCAAGCGATTACAGAAATGAATATCTTTTTATAAGAAGTATTGATAAGTGTTTTGAGTATTTTTTAGATAATATAAATAAGGCGGATAAAGGGGTATTTGAAAACCATAGAGTTGACAAGATAAAAAAGTATATAAATATACTTGAAAAAGCCCAGCGATTGAATTATCTTAATGATACTACTAATATAAAGATTTATGATATTAATCTTCCTTTTTCAAATATACTTTTAGAAAAATTAGGTGATTTTGGAGATTATGTTGATGATGAATGGGAGTTTGATCAAGAAGGGTTTGATAGATTTGTAGATCGTGAATTTCCAGGTTATAAAAATCTTCTTAAATGTATTGAGTTATTTCATAGTAAATTTAAATTAGTAACATTTGAGTCTTTAATTAATTGGCCTGATAGTGATAGTGATGATGGGATTGATAGTGATGAGATTGACACTATGTTTGCTAGTGGTGAAGATTCAGAGTCTGATAGTGATAGTGATTATTAATAATCTTCTAACAAATATTTGTTACAAGATTTAATCTTTCTTTGGTCTAACCCCTAGATCCCATAATTTTATAGCAAGGTCATAAAATCTTTTTTGTATACCTTCAGAATGGAAACTTAAACCTTATGATTTAAAAATGATTAACGATTTAGCAAAAAATCATCCTTATCAAAAAACTATGTTTTTGGTATATAAATATTATTGTTCTTTTGATGATGAAGTTGAGGGTGATATATTAAACGAAATGGACTATTTTAAGTTATTAGATAAATATTATAGATGTGGAATTACTTTTGACAAATGTGATCTTTATCCTGAAAATGTAGTATGAGTAAAAGAAGATTTTAATGAAACCCCTCCATTTAGATATTTAGTGGGTAATAATTATAATTTAAAACAACTTTTATTTAATGATGTGAAAAAAATTAAACTAAATGACTTGGATAAAGGTGAAATAACTCCTTCAGAAATAGAAAAGTGGAAAAGAAAAGTAATTAATCAACAAACAGATAGAAAGACTAGATTACGGCTATTAGATCCAAATATTTATCATAGCTTAATTACATTCATTGTTTTTTCTAATTTTAAAGAAAGGCCACATAATATGATTGATTATGATTTGAGTAGGGGTGGATTTTCAGGAGTTGATAGAAAACTTAACAATTATAAAAATAAGTATAATTATACAAAAATTTATGAGGATAAGATTTATAATAAGATTAAAATGTTGCTTTTATAACTTTAGGGAAATTCCCAACAAAAAAATTAATCTAATCAAATGATAAAATGGAATCTAAGAACGATATTCTTACAAAAGAAGACAAAGATTTTATAGTTGATGATGGTTATAATCATGATGACGATCCAACATATGAGCCTAAAGATTCCTCCTCATCTGATGATGATAAATATGTTGTTACCGGTAAAGAGTTTAAAAAACTAGCCAAAAAGGCTAAAAAACTCGGTGCTGAATCGTTTGATTATTCAACACGCAAAAATAACAAATATGTAGCAACACTTTCAAGTGGAAAGTATATTCATTTTGGGTCATCACAATATCCAGACTTTTTAATTCATAAAAATGAAGAGCGAAAAGAGAGGTATCTTGCTCGAGCTAAAAAGATAAAAAACAAACAGGGTGAGTTAACGTTTACTAATCCTGAATCGGCTAATTATTGGAGTGTGAATTTACTTTGGCCAGAAAAATAAATTATGATTTAAAGATGAAATTATTATAATAAAAATGCAGTTATCCAGTTACGATCATCTAACGACTGACAACATTATCTTTTGAGGCTAAAGAGTATAAGGTTAAAGATAGCAAGATTAAGTATGAGCGTATCCCAATTGAAGTCAAATATCCAAATGGAAAAAAAGGAGCTTTGGTAATTGAAACTCCACTTCTTTTCTCTTTTGGCGTGAATGAGAAGAAGAACCAAGAAACAAACAAGTTAGTAGGTTATAGTATTCCAGTATGCCTTTGGGCTAAAGATAGTGAGCCGAATACTAAAAAAAAAGCATTTTTTGATGCTATTAACAATATAACAACTATTTGCCAGCAACATCTAGAAAATGACTACGGTGCAGATTTAGCATCATCTCTGTCTTCACCATTTTATTACAAACAGGAAGAATATATAGATAAGAAAGGAAAGACGAAAACAAGAATAGATTCCTCATCCGCGCCAGTTCTTTACGCAAAACTTATTTACTCAGAAAAATCTAAGAAAATTCTTTCTTTGTTTAAGACAAAGGGAAATCAAGATTTAAATCCTTTTAGATATATTGATCAGTACTACAATGTACGCATGGCACTGATAATCGAAGGAATTTTTATAAGTAAGACTGTTACAGCTTTACAAATAAAAGTACATGATCTGAGTGCTATGTCAAACCATTAAAACCTAGAGAGTCTTTACTAACAATTGAAGAGGAAGAGGAAGAGGAAGAGGAAGATGAAGAGGAAGAGAGTGAGGGTGATTATACAAAAGATGGTCTTGAAGACTTAGTTATATCTGATAAAGAAGTAACTGAGTAATATTAGGATTTATTTTTAATACATATATTTGTATTAAAAATCAAGCAAATTCTTAGAACGTACCCATGAGTTAAATTTATCAGGATATCCACTCCATTTCACTAATGCCATTTTCTTTTTATTATCTCGTCTGATAATCTTTTCTATTCTAAATGTCTGCTGTTTTGCTCTCTGTAATTCTTGCTCGTAAAAAGAACCCTTAATCTCTTCTCCTGTCAAATCAACAATACTATACGTAACAGGTTTTGTTGGTAAAACTTTATCAATTACAAATATCTCCTCTGTCCATTTTGGTGTGTAACCCTTATCAAATACCTTTCTCTTATACTTAGAAATTCTAACTTTATCACCAATCGAAAACTTTGGTTTACAAGGTTTCAAGTAAACAGAATCACCATACAAATTAGACCAAACTTTACTTTCATTCTTCTTTTTACTCGCTTCAACTGGAGTCATTTTTACACTGGAATGTCTCGCATTATTGTAATCATTAACTAGTTTATCTATCTTGTCCCAGTAAACAGTGTTGTTATTCACAGTAAACATCTTCCACATTCTGTTTTTCATTGCTTTATTCCATCGCTCAACAACACTAGATTTTTCTTCATTTTCAGTGTGATACAGTTTGATTCCCTCTCTTTTCAGAAAATCTTTGAAATGTTTACTTATAGACTCAGAACCTTTATCAGTCCATAGCATCCTTGGTTTACGTTTACTCTTGAATATGTCATCAAATGCTTTACTAACAGTTTCAGTTTTTTTATCTTTCAATCCCCTAATCCAACCATACTTGCTAAACACATCAATAACCATTAGAAGATATTTAATCCCTTTGTTCCACTTACCAAACTTTTGCATTTCAACTAAATCAGCAGCCCAGATATCATCAATTCCGTTTGTCACCACTGATCTCTTTTGAAAGTTTCTTGTGATTGGTTTGTGACGTTCGTCGGCTAATTGTTGAGACCAATCACTACTAAACGCCGACGCGCGTTTTTTTGAAGGCCAAATCCAAGTTTTTGTTTTGTATTAATTAAGAATCTTGCAGTTGAGCCCCACTTTGGCATTTCACCATAGGGTATTTCATCCAAAGATTGTACCATCTCTCTGTCGCAATCGCCTTTGTTTCTTCCCATGTCATAACAAATGTCGTGATAAGCTGCAATTTCATCAACTTTGTTATACGGTTTAACTTTCCACTCTGTAACTTCTCCGGTCTCAGGATTATAACTTAATTGTTGTTCGAGAGGATTGTAGGATCCCATATATTTATACTTACCTGGAGTCCATCCTGCTTTTGGTTTTGGTAATTTACCAATCCATTTGTGAACATCAATTCCTTTTCCATCCAATTCTGGTCTATCAGTTTTATATTTCTTTTTTGGTCTCACTTTTGTTGATAGTTCATCCATTGCTGTTCTAACAGAATCTTGAATAAATGGAGTGAGTTTATTAATCCCATAATTCACAGCTTTCTTTTGAAGATTTGTATTTCTCATTAACTCGCTTGCTCCATATCGACCCATTTCAACTGCTGTTTTACCCATCCAAGGTAAACCATAATGAACAAATCCATCAACTGCTGTGCCAACTACAGTATTAAAAACGCCCGCCCGTTCAGACGGGCTTACTAGTTTTTTGATTTTCGTTTTCTCTTTTTTCCACTTCCAGTCATTGGAACTGATCCCATTTTCACATATCTCACTTTTTTATTTCCGCAAACTGCGCATCTACAATAGAATTGAGTACGCCCTCTTTTATCTTTTTGGTAACCACTTGGCTCTGTGCAAGGAGTTACTCTTTTATCTACAATACAATATGATTCTTTCATTTAGTATAATACTTAGATAAAATGGGATCGCGATACCAGTTTATAAAAGAGGAACTTGAGAAGATATATGATAAATTAAACACAAGTTATGAATGTGTTAATTATACGACTGCAGTGGAAAATAAGCGGTTTTTGGAAGTATTTAAGATTCTTATGGAGATAAATGAAAAATCAGGTACACTTCAAAGAATGATAAGAGGAAATTATTTATTTGTATAACCTATTAATAAATGGAACATCTTAGAAAAAAGATACTGAATATTGAAGAATCGTTAGATGAAACTTATGAGTTAGTGGGTTTTAGATATGTGAACACAGAAGAAAAATACAACAGAATTGTGGTAAGTTTATCTGAAATTGATGTGAAATTAAAAGGGATAAAAGAGTTGTTAAGGGGAAAAGATAATATATACTATTTATAAATGGAAGCTAAGTTTTTTTCTGAGAAAGATGTACGAACACAAATAAATAATGAGTTTGAGACTCTTAGAAAGAAAAATGATGATAGTAATTTAAATAATCTTGTTCATATTTATGATTGTTTAAAAATCTTAAAATTTGATATTGATCATTTTAAAAATTTAGTAAATAAAGAGTAAAAAAATAATAGTTAATAAATATTATTTTTATCCTCCAAAATACTCTTTTATAAAATCGCTGTTGTCATTATCGAAATGCGGGTTATGTATTACGTCTAGAATACTAGTACCTTTTTGTCGCTCAAACAGATAATATAAACACCAGTAACCACAGAGAACAGTACTGCGATTTTGTATTTCATCCATTGAGTAAACTATGCGTTTTCCAGAAGTATGAAAATACACCAGTGCTTCATTTGGCATTATCAAACCAAATGGATCGAAGTACTCAACCACTGAATCTATATTTCTATAACAAATCCAGTGTGTGCCAGATCCTTGAGTATCATCGAGATTGATTATTCCGCATTCTTTTTTAATCTTTCTGGGTAGCCCATCACGACTGTAAATCCCTCTAAAATGCTTAATACCAAGTTTCTTTACCCAATCCATGAGGTCAAAGTTGGATAATGGTTTAATTACAAAATATCTCCTATTATTGGAATTGAGTTGAAAGGGCTGTTTTTTCCTAGAAGAAGTCCTTCGCCCTTGGACTGTTCTTTTTTAACCCCCATTCCAATTGGGTTTTCCCATGTACCGAAAAAGGGTGGTGAGAGATAAGGATAACCTTCACCATATGTGGGTGGAGGAGGATGTGGAACGTAAACATTTGCTGTATTAGATGATGATTGTCTATCAACCTGAAGCCCAGAGCCAAACATTTTAGATACTAAACTAATTGCCATTGGAATTCCAATTGAGGCAAGAGTTCCAAGAAATCCTCCTTCTATCTGTCTACGAGTTGGTTTTATAACCAGTCGGCCGCCTGTTTGATAAGCTTTGTTTATTAGGTCTATTTGTGATTTGGTATATTCTCTTGCTAAAGGAGGTAACCTTGGGATAAAATTTTTTGGAATTTTAATTCCCTTTCCAAATATTTTATTTATTCCAAGTTCTCCAAGTGCAGTAGCAGCACCAGTTGCCAATGCATGAACAGCTTTTGAACTTCCTTTTATTGCATATGGTAGTACTTTTGCTCCAAGAGATGCGAGTGAAGTAAATAAGTTTCCACCATGTTCTACATATTTTCTTATTTGAGTTTTACTTATCTTTATATCACTTCCTGTGCCATTTGCCAGTGATTTTTTTTATTTTAGCAATTTGTCTTTTTGTTAGCATTAACTCATCAGAACCTCGAAGATGTGAATGTTTTAAATTTAATATTGCAGAAGCCAGTTTTGACTTTTGTCCATCTGTAAGTGTTACACCATATTCTATATAAGTAGTCATTTTTATTATAATATTTATATTAAATTAATTTCAGGAAATTTAACTAAATCTGTTATTTTTTTCTTTTTAGGTTTAGGTTTATTTATTTTATTTTATTTTATTTTTAAGTAAAAAATGAAGTTTAATTTTATTTATTTTATCTAGTTTTTTCCTATTTTCTTCTTTTATATTTTTAAGTAAAAGTTGAAGATTTTTCCTATTTTTTATACTAACATGATTTAAAGTTTTTTTAAATTGTGTTTTACTAAATTTTAAATCAACTTATTCCTTATTTGCCTTTGCCTTGTCAAGTTTTTTAATTTGGGTTTTTGTAAGAAAAACTATAAAACGTTTTTTGTTTTTTAGGTTGCTATAGTCTTGAGGTATAATATAGCTTTTTCCAAAACTTTTTATTTGTGATGGTGTTAAGTATATTATATGTTGTACGTAATTACCTATTTGGTTCTTCATTTTATTTTATTTTTAGATTAAGCACGAAGCAATAGTTTTCCATCTTGTTGTGATATTTCTGCTACTCTTTCATGTAAGACTAATGCGTAAATATTATAATTGGCGTCTGGATTTTCAGATAACTCGTAATGAAATGCTAGTTTTGTAACACCATCTTTGATATCCATTTTTTGTTTTGTCAGGTCAAAATAAACAAAAGGAAATAAAGTTTCAAAATTACTTCTGTTAAGTAATATTCCACCTTGATAATCATTATTTGCATAAACGTATGACATTACATTTCTAAAAACTCTTGTCATATCTGTAGAGGGTTTAAAGTGAATATCTGGATATTCGTTTCCATTTGCAACTTCCAGGTAACATCTTGATATACTAGCATTATTGGCAGATCAAAAGTGTCGTATAAAAATGGATTTGCTGTTTGTGCATCAATTCTTGCTGTATTAATTCCAAAAACAAATACATGACGTGGTTTTGAAATAGCATTTGTAATTCTAAAATGTCCTGTCTGTTGCTGTGTATTATTTGACCTTTCAATTACTTCATTTAAATATGTCCATTTGTAAGGTTTAAGATAATTTTCCATGTACAACTTTTGTCCTTCCGAATTAAACGTTAGTCTTGGAATAAAAAGTTGTAGTCTTGTTATAATAACTCTACAATCATCAGCAGCTTTAAAAATTAAATTTGCATCATTTTCAATTTCGATATTTAGCTCAATTTTTGTATTTGGAAGTAATTTATCTTCCAATACTTCAAAGAAAGAATATCTATTAAGAGGAATTTCACAGTTTACTGTGGCTGATGCACCTAATAGTAATTTTCTTGCATGAAAACCTTTATTATAAGTTGCTTGAGCAGGTCTTTCTTCTGCAGCTCTTGATGTATCAAGAAAATAAAATTCGTTTGTAGCTACACTCTGAGCATATGAAGGATTATACTCAAGCAAATTTTTAATATTTACAACATGATTTGCGTAATTACAACTATAAACGTCTCTTCCATTTGCCAGGGTACTTAAGTTTTCTATAAAGGAGTTACTACCATTTACAATTCCGTTATGGTCAGCAAGCGCAATGTTTCCTCCATCTGCCAACTTATTTACTTTAAAATCCATTGATAATCGTGCGTTATACCAATCAAAAGGAGTAGCTTCTCCTGTATTATTAGCAACAAATCTAAGGCCTGTTTTAGTTTGTTGTGTGTTATTTGCTGGGGCTGTATCTAGAGGCTGTTCCAGGTCATAAACAACATCCTCATATCTTTTTAAATATTTTGGATTTCTAAAGGACTTCATTTTATTTTAATAATTATATAATTTTTCTCTTACGTGTTGAACCTCCACTAAGAGTGGCATTCACTCTTTGATTTATCTCTTTTTTACTTGGAATTGTTTCAACATTTTCATTAAAAGTAACTTTTGGTTTACTATTATTACTTTTGGATAACATTTGCACTATCTTATCACCAGCCTTTTTGCCAACATGTTCACCAGTTTTTGTTGCAGCTGCTGTTACCGCTTTTTTAGCAGCTGATTTTACTGTTTTTCCAAATAATTTTTAAACCAAACGATTTAAACACATCCATCATTCCTTCTCCATAAATATATTGTCTTGTATATCTACCCAATTCAGGGTCAAGTTTCATTTTAAACTCTGATTGTCTCATCATTTTATTTTAATAGTTATATTACATTGAATGGAGTATCAAAGTCATAGCGGAGCTCCACGCGCGTGCGAAGCGCGCGCATGGGCGGAGCCCCATTGCTAAGTAAATCTACCCATCCCAGAAAATTTGGTAATCACGTGACCGTACAGCGACCGCGCACCGTCCGTCCGCACCACAGGAAAACCAATGTTTACTCTCACACTTTTAGCTAGTTTGGGAGCCCAAGAGAAAACTAATTACACAGGCTGCACATCAATGTTGTGATCAATTGACAGCTATCAAAACAGGGCATCCGCTGACCAGTATCACCTGACCGTACCGCGGGCTCAAGTGTCGACCCATCGAGGTCGAGTATTTTTTTAAAGTTATCCGCTGACAAATTACCAGTTTCAAATGATCGTAGGCTCAAGTTTATTTTTTCCAAGGATTCATATCAAATATCTTGTGTTTATGTCACTATGGCCCCGCATTATTAGGATTTTGATTTCAAACTGACCTCGGAAGCGAGAATTCATCCAGTTTTTTTAAAAGTACAGGCGGGGAAGACCTTACCTTACCATGGTCACGCGTTGGTCACGCTCTACGTCCAATTTTTATACTCTGATTGGTCAAAATTTGACAGGTGAGTTCATGCGGAAAATATGCAGCATCTTGAAAGTAGTTTACTTTGACAGCTGAAGCTGACAGAGTTTTGTGTCAACTTGTGATGTTTTTAACTGTCTTTTTCCTCTGGATGTACAAAATGAAATACAGCTGCTATCAAGAGTCTTCTGTTATTCATGGCTGGTTTGTTTACTGGGTTTTGGTTGAGAAATGCGTCGCTTGTCAAAATTCGGTAATTCGATTTCGGATGGCATCGTTTTCGTTTTTCACCTTAAGAGGGTTTAAAAGTCTCAAGCAACTGTGGCCTCTTTTGATAGCTATCAGGAACTGAATCTCGAATGGTAAGCCTAAGTAATTATTGTATTTGATGTTTTCATGAAGTCTTGCACAGTTCACGCTGACAGTTTATGCGGCAAGTTTATGCACGTTTGTAGGATTTGAGTCAATGATCTGACCTAGGGTGTGTTCCTTTCGGTGAATCCAAAAACGGATTTTAGATCTAAGAACAGATTTCGCGTTCCTTTCGGCAAATCCAAATCCGGATTTTTGATCTGGTGAATCCTTTTTGAAAAAGGATTCATTGGATTTGAAATCCGAAGAATCCAAATCCAGATTAACGGATTAGTGATCTACGCTGTTCCATTCACAGTGGATCCGAAATTAGTCAGATGATCCAGCGGTATTTCCAGTTGAAGTATTCCCATAGAGGCCGTAGAGTTTCCCCGTTGCTGCCATTTGCCGCAAAACATCTGAAAACACTAGAAGATTTTTCCTGGTACGTTAAAATATCCATATACTAACCATTTGTCTCTAAAGATTGCTTGAAATCAGAAATAAGTAAAAGTAACAAATGAACTGCTATCTAACTACAAACTCGCTTGTAGACGCGACAGGCACTCGATAAATCCGAGCTATGGAACTGGATCAAACTGGCCGACATTCTTTATATAATTTTCAATTTTAATGCGCTTCTTTCTTTGTCTGTTTTATATGTTCCATCGTCGCTATTCGAACTGCCGACCACTAAATTCTGCACGGTATAATCGCATAATTTGTCAAACAGTAGAAAACACGTCATTTCTTGAGAGGCTGTCGTGCATATTGCACGCGTTGGCGAAAGGTTACCAAGGTTACAAATCCAATTTCGGATTTCACGTTCCTTTCGACCGCGAAATCTGGCAAATCTAGGATCAAAAATCCGTTTTTGGATTCGCCGAAAGGAACACACCCCTGGTATCCGGTTTGATATAAGCTTACAGAACTTTAAAAAGCCTTCAGATATATTTGCTCACCACAAATAGAAAGAAAACGTTCCGAAGAATATTTAGTTGTAAATTTGGCTGTAGAAAGAAAACTTTGAGCGATTTTCTTGCTTCGAGGAGTTCACCTTCGAAAACAGTAAACACCGCGCCGGGAAGCCGGCTAAAACATAAACTTAAGCTTTACGCTTAAAGACTCAGGATTCTTAGAGACACTTTAATACTTGTCTTCGTGAATGAAAATTGCTGTCTTTGTAAATGTTTCACGGAATTATATCTCTTTTTTTGATTGTTAGTAGCCTCTCTTGCAATTTTAATCGCTTGTCCGTGCCGTTTGTTTTCATCGTTCATGACCATCGCTTGCAGGAGTACTAAAAAATGTCGCGCGTATCAAACGCTTAGTAAGATTACACATCGTTATAACCGAAACCATTAAATAACAAAACAAATAATAAATTCGCTATTATGTTGAAGCGTAACTGTGTTAAAGTTCATTCAAACACTCGACCACACTGACAGCGCGCACTATAGAAACAAGAACCAACTGGCCGTATGAGTGATTTTGGAAATTTTCTGAAATTTTTGAACGGTTTGGCTCGTCCTGAATATTGACTGAGTGCAATTTGTCTTGAAAAATTGTGAAATACCGCATTCTGTCCGAGCTCTGTATGATAAGTAGTACTGTTTCACCTCAAATGTGGTATATAAAAATTATAAAAGGTTGGTTTAAACACCCCCAGATTTGTTTGCAAGAATTTGTAAAGTAAGCCTGTCGAACGCAAAAAGATTGGGCGTGATTTGTTTTCCAAGAATTTGTTTTCGAGGCCTAATCTACTGTGATCTTGAATGTGATCGAAGATGATTGCTATTTTTTGGGTGTACATATAAGGTTATCAATTCGATGTAAGATGTTTCACTCTAAAATAACTTAGCCTTTCCCTCAAAAGTCACATGAATGTGCCCTTAAGTTAAATGATTTGTGGATTAAAAGTTTATGGTTTGATTTAAATTATAAATTTATTAAAATTGGAGCTTCGCTTTTAGCCCTGGCTAAATCTATATATTAAACCAATCAATACCCTTAAAATTTACTGGTCTTCCAAGCGAGTCTGTCACATAAATTCTCATTTCATCAATGTGAAATGTAGAAACAGGGCAATACAATGGTCTTTTCAGGGGCACCCAACGACAATTTTCGGAAAATTATCTGTTCGGAAGACGATTTGAGATCTAGAATTTTCGGATCATTTTCTGTAAAATTTCTTGCTTGCCTACCTCTCCTAGGATTTTCGAACATCAAAAAAGTGGTATAATTGCCCATTTTTAACGGATTTTTACACTAAAAAGGTCACCTAGAATTTTCGAGAGCCTTTTTTCTGGCTGAAATTTTCGAAAAGGTAAATTTTGATCACTATAATTTTCGGATCACTATACTTTCAGCTAGGAAATCCGAACAGATGAAAAATTTTTAGGGGATAAAAATAAGCCTTTATCTACCGTTTAAATACTAAAGTACGTTCAACAATGCTATGTTTATGTGGTTTTGAACTATATTCTCGTTGGGTGCCCCTGTCTTTTAGGCTCAAACGTAAATGGAAAAGACCTTGTGAGATTGTCTGTTGGTATCACAGCAATGGTATTTGTATTTATTCCATTTACAATGCTATCAGTTATTGCGCTTGTGTTGATATTCAACACATCAATCGAATTTGTGATATTTGGTAGTTTTGTTCCATACTCTGTTTTTGTAATAAGTTTCTTTTCAAATCCAATTAGGT